CAGAGAACTTCAGATAGAGTTCGCGGAAATGCTCAGTGGACACCCCAGGTAGGGTAAGGATTAGCATTTACACACTACTTAGAGCATTTTTATTTTCAGTGATGGATTTTTAGCCCAAGTCAAGTTGAACAGAAGTGGTTTCCCGATCCTAGCTGAAAATGTTTTTTCAGAAACTCCGGGCCGCCTGGTTGTCGCGATGTGCCGTGCTGCAGTTGTATTCCAAAACTGAGTCACTCAGATCACATGAGTACCTAAGCATGCTTGAAACTCATTCAAATTCAAGTGCTTCTATCCGTTGTCTTGATTGTTTCCCACTCATTCCTTTCGGTTTTTGGAACATCTCAAAATCCTATGCCCAGAGATCTTCAGATATAGTTTGCAGAAATGCTTAGATTCGATCGTGCTTAATGACATCTTTTTTACCCAACTACTCAGTTTCAGGATATAACTGCTGCGTGGTATACTAGGCCATCCAGTCCCTAGAGTTTCTGAAAAAAAAAATTCAGATAAGACTACATACCACCCGTTCTAAAGTTGACTTGGGCCCCAAAATCCATCTCTGAGCTTAAAAAGTAAAAACTGTATAATGTATGAATTCTAATCCCATCTTTACCTGTGGTTTCAACTGAGCATTTCCGGGATGTATATCTGAGCCTCTCTGTGCATAGGATTTTGACATTTGCCCCAAACCTAAAGGTTCGAGTGGGAAACAATCAAGACTGTTGATCAAAGCTCTTACAATTATTTGAGATTCATTAATGCTTGGTGACAACTTTTGACACCACCAACTCAGTTTCGGGATAGAATTACTGTGCCATTCAGGCCCCAGAGAGAAAATTCAGATAGGATCACAATTTCAGATAGGATGAAGAAACCACTCATCCTATACCTGATTTGGGTCCCAAAATTAAAAATGGAGATTAAAAATTGTCTAAGTAGTGTGTGAATGCCAACCCTATTCCTACTTGGGGTGTCAACTGAGCATTTCCGCGATCTATATCTGAGGATCTCTGGGAATCTGATTTTTTCATGATCCTCAAACTAAATGTATGAGTGGGAAACAATCAAGACCGTTGATCAAAGCTCTTGCAATTGAGATTTAATAATGCTTGGTGACAAAGTTTGATCCCACCAACTCAGTTTTGGGCTACAATTTCTGGGCAGTGCACCGCGGCATCCAAGCCCCAGAGAGTTTTTGAAAAAAAAACTTTTTTAGATATGATTTAAATACCACCCGTCCTAAACCTGAATTGGGCCCCAAAATTCAGTACTGAGCTTAAAAATTGGTGTCAAGTAGGGTGTAAATGCTTACCTTAACCTTAGTTTGGGTGTCAAATGAGCATTTCCGCGATCTGTATCTGAGCCTCTCTGGGCATCGGATTTTGATATGTTCGCCCAAACCTAAAAGTATGAATGGGAAACAATCCTGACTGTTGATCAATGCTCTTACAATTAAATGAGATTCAATAGTGCTTGGTGACAACTTTTCATCCGACCAACTCAGTTTCTGGATACAATTTCCGGCCAGTGCACTGCACCATCCAGGCCCCAGAGAGTTTCTGAAAAAAAATTCAGATAGGAGCAAGAAAAATACCTGTCCTAAACATGATTTGGGCCCCCAAATCAAGCGCTGAGCTTAAAAAGTGTAAAATTAGTGTGTGAATGCTACCTATAAGTGAGCTTTTCTGGACATCGGATTTCAACTTTCCCCAAACCAGGGGGGCGCTTCTTGATTTCTTGGCTAAGATCGAACAGCATGTGGCTTGAACTTGGCTGGGAGACTGGTCAGCAGGATGGGAAGGTGATGGAGGAGCAGAGCATGGGAAGATCGGACGACTGGAAGCTGAGGAGAGCCTGAAAGAAAGAAGAAAACAACAAGCCACCACCGGAATCGCTGTGGGTGAAGCCCAGGGGGAGAAACTGGGGCTTCCAGATGATGGCGAAAACCTTGGTTGACATGGTCCTGGAGATGGCGGCTGAGTATCCTTTGTCCCGTGAGGGGCACATGAGGTGCTCAGTGTGCTTTGTGCTGAGAAAATTGGAAGAAAGGGAATGATGAATGGATAGGAAAAAATTTTAAAAAGCTATTTTTCTCAGACATTGGGACTTATAAAGAATGGACATTTTTTGTTTACATGATTTTCCAGATGTATTTTTAGCTCTTACTCTGTCTTCTGAGAGTGTGTGCTGAGACTTGAAAAAAAAAGTGAAGTTTGGGAAAGACTTGTTCCACTTAACGGAGTACTTAATGGAACCACTTTTTTGCTAGAGAACTGAGACCGTTAACTATACAACTTTTTAATCCGCACATAACAGAAGTGGATATAATCACCTTTTTAAAACGGTTTGTGGATTTTCAGGGAGACGTAAAGAAGATTCTAGATGCAGAGTGGATTTGGACTGGCACATGAAAATACATGTTGAGGTTACAACCCAATGCATCAGAGGATAGTGGCGTAGTGCCCCCCCAGCATATTTTTCTATAGGGCAGAATAGGGGGCTTCTGTTTTACCCTGGTCAACCACTTATCTGCAGGAAATGTAATGGACTGGGCCATGTTGCAGCAACCTGTAACTTTGTAATCTGCAAAACGTGTAGGTTTGGCCATGTTGTAAAGGACTGTAACAATTTCTTGATCTGTAATCTGTGGGGTCGACGGGCATGTTTATAGAGCCTGTCCAATAAAGACAAGAACTTTTGCAGCAGTGGTAAATGATAGAGGACCTACGATGGGAGAAAAGAGATTCTGCTGGAGGTGTGGCCAAAATTACTGAACCTGCAAAGCTGCTTGACTTTGAAGAAGCTGGAGCTGGAGAAGTGGAGGAAGGAGGTCCAGGGAAGACAGAAGCAGCTGAAGTTTCTGGGTCTTCAGCCGCAAAACTTGTGTCTACCCACTGGGGAGAAAGTGAAATAGGAGAAGGAAAGCCAGAGATGCCAGAATGGACATCAGTAGTGGTTCGTAACAAATGGAAGATGCTCTCTGAAGCTCACCAGCCAGATTTCAAAATGGTTCTCAAACCAAAGTAAAACAATCAGTTTACTTTCAACCCTTATTGTATCTTGCAGAAAATGCCCAGCCATCTACATTGGGTAAACAGGAAGGAGACTAGTAGACCACTTCAGAGAATGTTAGGACTGTAAAGATTAAAGATCTCTCCTTGCCCATAGTTTCTCATTTCACCTCTGATGGCCATGATCACACTGATCTCTCCATCTGCAATCTCAAAGAAGGTTTTCTTAGCTCATCAGAAACTGAAATTATCCTGAAACCTGGTTCACACCTTCCCCAACAGACTTGTTTTATTCTAATCCTCTCTATTCATTTGTAGGTTTTGACTTCACACTTCTCTCGACTTCGCATTACCTGATTGGCCACTCTGCCTCTCCCCTGCTCCAGCCTCCTCCACTACCCCGGCTTTTGTTCTCCTATGCTATATAATCTTTGCTGTCTGCCCATTCTCACACCCGAAAAAGGCTACACAGCCAAAACAATAACCTATCTGAGCAAATATGATATCACTACATTCATTATTTTGAAAATGTTCCTCAATCTAAAAAATATCTGAAAGACTCAAAACCATTTATTAAAGATCTTTAAAATGTGTCTTCTTTAATATCAGTTTTAGACAAATTTTCAATCAGTTGAAAAATACTCTTAAACTATATTGTCATGAGCACTTATTTCAGGCAAGTGTAGGGTTAGGGTTACAAGAACCATTTATGGACCGATTGTTCCCAATGTACTAAATGTACTCAGTATAACCAGACTACCCTTTATATCAAGTATACCCACTGCATTCATTGTACTCAATGTACCTAAGTACCCAATACGTAATAAGCACCTCATAAACGTCATGCACCTAATGTACTCACTCAATGCACCCACTGTACTCAATGCAATGTAACCAATGTATTTAAAGTACCAGTATGAGATACTGCCCAGGACTGTCAGGTATAGAGAAAAGCGACTGGCAATCAATAGACTACACAAAGTTTTGTCTCTTTCTTAGGTGTGGCAGAGGAGGCTTTCAGGTTACTGGATGGAGCTTACTCGGGAGAGTGGTACTAATGGATTTTGTTTCCCTTTAGGACTTTTTTTTTCAGATTCTAGGGCCTGTGATGTCCAAATATTTGTTCTTGGGTGTACATTATTGATACTGTTTTCAGCTAGTGCCTTTATGAATAGTTCATGACATTGTTAGAGGAGTTAAATTACAATTATACAGAACTGTCTTGTGCCAGTCTGTATGTGCATTGTTGGTTATAGGGAATACAAAAAACTTGTGACAAAGGCAGCTACAAGTTTACTTCATTGTAGATGTCACCAGTGCAACAAAAAAAAAAACTGATGTGTTATTTCAGATCTCGTGCTTACTTAAAATAAGCAGGATGTGTGATTACATGTACTGCAACTGCCTAAGGATGTCACCACCGATGCCATTAAGGAAAAGTAAATAGCATTCATATATTAAAGAAAATATAAAAATGACCAAAAAAAAACTTTTGGAAATGTTTATTCATAGTTATAATAAACCAAATTTGTCGAAACAGACAGGTCTTTACATTTTTTGCACATTATAATTTTTACATTGCTTTACAAATTGCTAACTTAGGTAGCATAAAAGCATCAAATTACAATAATAATACTGTAAAAAGATGGAGTCTTAGGGAAGATTGCCAACTGGTCACGTGACTCATTTTAGGCAACTGAAATACATTTCAATTCCACCTTCCATCATTGCACAGGTAAAGCTCCCTTGTAAGACTTGAAATCATCAATGGAATCAGTTTTTGACTTACTGTTTAACCTAAAACAGTCTGAGAGTCAGAAGAGTCCAAGTCAAAGGTGCAACTCCATCTTCATGCACTGAATGTTTATGTATGGTGTAATCATTTAATATTATTAATTTAGTGCTGTGCATTGCTAAGACACGATTACCTGTATTACTGAAATTCTTATGCATCACTTAAACTTTTGCCCAAATAAAAGTGGTATACAGAAACTGAAAAATATTAAAAACTAATAACCAAATAGATGTTAAAACAGTATAATTGTTCACTTGCACTTTGTTCTATTCAAAAGTTCATAATTACAATGCATAAGTGACTTTCACTGCTTATAATTGATATTACTCTTAGCACTGAATAGTAAACACTAGAACAACCAATATGCCTTAAAGAACATTGTCGAAGCATTTCTCAACAATTATAGTTGCAATATTTTTTTCTGAAACAAAGTCAAATAAGTAAAATACTTCAAATAACACTTTACAGAACACTTCATCATCTTAGTCACCTAATACTCTCTATTGAGTAAAATGAGGATACTAGAAGATATTACTAGTCCTTACAAATTTAAAGGGAAACTGCAATCCCAAATTCTCAGACTGGTTATAAATAAATTTCAGATTTAAGCATGTTGTCGTTAATTTAGTAAAAGTACTGTATGGTCGCCATAGTTGTCGCAAACTCCTGGCCTGAGAGAGAGAGTTCTTGATATGAAACACCTATTCCTACTCACTAGTCAGTGTAATGACTAATGTAAAGCAATGTACAAGCGAGTAAGTGCAGCAGACATTTTACTGCAGAAACGTTTCAACGTGATATGAATGCAGAGTTAATAAATAAGTTGTATTTGTCAGCAAAACCATCTCAAAGTAGAGAGCAATATTTCTATCAGATTAAGAGATGTATTCACAAGACTGCTTATTCACAACTCTAGGCTTTACTGGAGCTGCTACAGTATGTAAAGAAAATCTGCCTTTCCTCTTTTGAAGTTCTAGTCTTCCACCTTAAGTACATAAATACAATTCCTCCATCCCTATTACTGATAAACACTAATAACTAGTACCACCCCCACATTTAAAAAAAATCTCCTTTTACGTCCATATCTCAAGGCTCTGTACTCCAGACACTGCTGCTTTACTAGATCTCCGAGAAGATACTTTACCTAGATTGCTCCAGAAATACCAATAGCAAAACTGGGTATCTAGTAAACTAGATATCTAGCAAACCAGGGAAAAAAAGCAAATATAATCTGTACATTACTTTGGATATTATTTTCATAAATGCAGACAGTCCATATTTTGCATAAATAACATCAAATTAAAAAAAATGACAAGTTTAACTGTCACTCTTTAACAATTTCGAAAAAAATGCACTTTTCAGCTGACACATTTATTAAAAGTTATTAAAAGTTAGGGAAAACCCATTTTCCCATACAAATGTTAATGACCCTCGATGGAAAACAGGTCTTAACTGCTCGACTAAGTAAACTGACAAAGGCGTAAGGACATCTCGGAAAGTTAATATGAAAAAGGAATGAAGTAGACAAGCAAATGTTAACTATCCCATGTATGATCAAGGCTTAAAAATAAAGATGAGGCTTATTATTATATAGCTTATGATACATCAGAACATCAAAAATAAAAAAAACGTATCTTTTAATGGGTATAACAAATATCTGCTTTTACTGCTGTTTCACTATAATAATACTAAATATATTTATAAAATCACTAAATATTACTATTAAAAAAATCCTGGCATTTAAATAACATTGCTGCAATATGTAGATACACAACACAAAATAAACACACAAGTCTTCTTTTTGATTTCTAGATGTTCAATTATGTTTTTTTGCCAGAATTACAGCAGCATCTTAAATAACATTCAAAAGTATTTTTTTTCCTTTGGTAGCCACTTGGGAAGTCATCTAGCTGGTGTTTGGACCCCAGACTCTTAATTACTCATCTTCCAAATTACTGTTCTATAAGATACTACCTGTAAAAAATTGTACAATTTCAAAAACAAATACAAAAGTAAATTCTTTGTTTCAGAAGGCATAGTATTGACTGACAAAGTTCACAGTTTACCCCCTTATACTTTAAAAAAGTAACTTTGAGGGAAAATGTCTTTCTGTATTTTTTAATTATATGTGAAATATGTCATAAAGTGCATTTTATTAAATTATACATTCCACTTGTTAGGAAATTTGCCTCTACTGATTTCTTCAATACAGATTTAAAGTACACTTATTAAGATCTTCATAGTTTTTAGATTTTAGTCACATTTCAAAACATTTTACAGGAACTGTAAAAATTACAACCAATTAAAAGTATGCTTAATTTATTCAAGTGAGTTTTTCACTACTATGATAATGAATTGAATCTACCATTAATGATGATTTAGGTCTAAAAAAATGCAGCTAGTATTTGGCTTTCATTTTCATAAAACTTATGGTAAGGACAACCCAAAAAGATACTGTGTTACTTTATGCTATGTACAAACACCTCTCCATAGTGCCATTAATCAATGGGCCATCTCAACCAATGTGCCCCTTTTCTGAAAATCTTGGGAGCAATGTAATTTACAAGTGAACTCTTTGAAAAGTGATAATCAGAGGACATACTCTTTCTGGACTGGGGGGGAGCAATTATAAAATTCCCATTGCAAAGAATGTTCATAATTTAACTGAGAAAAGTACTCAGTCACATAGCCAAAGAGCTGGCTTCTGACAGTATTCTACCAATTGAGTGGCATTCCTGAAAACAACATAAAAACTATTACTTCACACCTCCCATACCTAACATTCAACAAAATAATTCTAACAGATTCCAAAAGCCTGTTAGTTCACTCTGATTTCCACAAAGCTAAAAACTACTTAAAAGCAAATAAAGATAAAAATTAAAGATAGTCATGCAATTAATATTCACACTACTGACAAAACATTGTCTATATACAGAAGTGCTGGAAAAAAGTCCATTCTTAATGTTAAAACCCTTAACCCAAAATCTGAAAATAATACTGCTTCCAGGTTATTGATTAATGGCACATTGATCTGTAATCTTTTCTCATTTCCAAAATTTCCTGACCAATGAGCACTGTACTTCCTTCATTGACGGCAAGAGACCTTCTAACAATCAGTAATACTTCCAGAAAAAATAAAGTGGCTTTGAGTAGCATTGCAACTCAGTGTCTACACAACACACAGACACTTGAAAAATGATTTCTTGACACCAAGTTTTTTATCTTGCTAAACATATAAACAAAGTACTGCTCTGACAAACAAATGGCATTCTAAAAAAGACACATCAATCATGTCACGTCAACAAAGTAACCGTATTGTTGACTAAAGATACTGTTCTTCAGATCACAAAGTGATGCAAAAAAACTAAATAAGTCTGGAATTTTTTAGGAATTGAATGAGCACTTTGTAAACAAAAGTATATTGTGCCACAGTCTGCACCATCATCATACGCTGCTCTCTTAGTCTATTTAGAACAGTAGGGACGTCCAGCATCTGAAAAAAAAAGTTAGATTAGGTGTAAAATAAGCAATCTAAACAAAACTTATATTTCTACATGTGAGTGATTAAAGGAATATATAAAACTAAATTATTAAGAATTACAACAATTAAAACAAATAAAAATTTCATGTTTAAGAACACAGAAAAGACTACAAATAAGAGGCCATTCTACACATCTTGCTCATTTGGTAGATTAATGAAATATTATAATTCAATATCAATTTAATTCAAAATACTTCATCCATACCCATGGGGATAATTGATATCTTAACAATACGTCAATTTAACTATGTTTTGCTGTCATTGTTGTTGAGATGGACAATGAAACATATTACATGCATTGTAATAATTCTTGCTCAACCCAAGCGATGCATAGGTATAGTACTTAAGTGCTCACCTATCACCAAGAATGCTGGCAATTGTGCTGGAATTTTACTTTCACTCTTGACTAAGGAAGGATAAGCTCATATGGCTTTGGATCAGTTTGTAACTATTTTCTTGCGTCATCACTCTGAAGTGTTATGGTAAATTAAACTAATCGTAAATAAAATAACCACTAGGTCAGCTATAGAGATTGAATTAGAATATTTATTAAATTTCAGGTTCTTTTCAGTTTGAAATGTCTAATATATTTTAATTAAAATCTGAAATAAGCACTTGTTCTCTAATAATAAAATGTATTATGACATCTCTAACAATTTAATTATCATTATGTTTATATTGACTTTTTAATTAAATTTAGAACTTAATTTGCATTCTGAATGTATGAATTCAGAATGCAGGCCACATAATGCAGCACAATGTGCCATGCATACCACAATTTAATGCAGCATCATGCCCCTTTGTAAAAATATTCAGTTGTGGGACTGCACTACTTTGTGAAACTGCCATGTGAAGAAGTGAATGCTTAACGTGGAGTGTGGAAGCAGTTGGGCTGTTGCCAGAAAACACCTGTTTTCAAATTCCAGTCAATGCTAAGGGACAATCCTCTTCCAGTTATAGAATTTAAACTGCTTACTGTTTAGATATTTATATACATTTTAAACTGTTTTACAGTATATTAAATATTAAAATAATTAAAATAGAAAGAAGTGCTGTTTTACAAAATTAATCACATATATACAATTCATTTTGACAAACTTAAACAGCTAATTTTGCTTGATGAATTTAAAATCTGTCAGCCTGACTGTACTGTATCTTTCATTTCATTGTGCAGGACATCACTTTGCTCTAGCCAGATAAAAAAATAGTTTATTATCATAGATTGTTGTGAATCTGAAGTGCCTCTTTCAGGTTTATATCCGCATTAAGAAAATGTATATTTTGTTTTAATGTAAATTTTGGCACTACAGTAATCAGGAAAGAAATTAACTTTAAATTTTGATTATAAAAATATATTTCACACATATTGTACCTTAGTGGCTTTAAAACAATACTGTATTTACTGTGTATAATGTTTATTTATATACCAATTATATCATACTTTAACAAAGTTTTCAAATGTGAACAAAGACTACATTCCCAATGTGCCACATGCGCAAATTACATTAAGTTACAGTGCAGTCCATAAGCATTTGGACAGTGACACAATTTGTACTGTTTTTGGCTCTGTATGCCAACACATTGGATAAATAAAACAATGACTATGAGGTTAAAGTGTAGAATGTCGCTTTAATTCGAGGGTAATTACGTCTTTATTGGGTGAACCTTATAGGAATCACAGCCCTTTTTATACACAGCCCCCCCATTTAATGGGTCCAATAATAAACTATTTTGGACAACTAGGCCCATGAGCAGCTTTTATTCTAGTGCTGTACACATCTTCAACAACTAACTATAATGCCTCAGACTCAATACACATCTACACTATGCAGTTTCTGCAAGGTCTACCATGTTTTCTTACTTACAGACCTACTTTCTTTTTCAATATTAATATTTAAAATACTGTAATATACAGTATAAAATTAATACAAGTAAAAGCAGTATACAAATTAAAGAAAGCATTGACCGGGATTCAAAACCAGGTATTTTCATGTGAGAGGCCAAATACTTCCATACGCCATGTTAAGCATTCACTGAGTCACCTGGCGGTTTTACAAAGTAGTGCAGTCCTGTAACAGAATATTTATTTAAAAAGTGTGGGACAATGTGGTATGCATACCACCTTATGCTACATTATTCATCATGCATTTTGAATGGCTTGATCTGTATATGACAATCCCTAAGACCAGAACTCCTGTTCTTCTTTTAACTCCAATGATATAACAGTTTTTTTTTTATGACAGAAACTAACACTGAACAAATAATTCTAATGGAGAAGTATTATCAATGCACTGTAAAGCTTCAACATCAAATAAATTCCATCCATTGTTTTAAATTCCACACTTTTTTATTGCTTCCTCATATTGCTTTGGTGAGGACATAGAAGCCTTCAGCCCATTCACCAGCACCTCCTTAAAACTCAGACTTACTCATATACATACTGTATGTTAAATCTATGCTCCTGCTACATCTGTGAATAACTACTCTTTTCAATAACAGGAGCATCTGTTACATGTGTGACCAATCTAAGTCTTTTCAAGATATCCATGCATTGTTGCTATTCCTGTATTTGCCACTAACTTTATTTTTCTACTATCTGCAATTCTATTTATGGCACTAACACAGAAAAATGTTCAATTTTTTGCAACCACATACCTCATTGTGTTCCAGACAAGCAATCATAATTTCTGATAATATTACAACCCCTGTTCTTCCCACACCAGCACTGCAGTGAATCAATACAGGAGGGTTAGTACTTTTAGGGTCTGTGGTGCTGTTTGTATGGCGTCGTACTGATTGTATTTCTTCCAGGTATGCTGGAATTTGAAAGATACACACAATTAACAAGACTAAACAATTAGAGCATGTAATAGCTCTCCATTTTTACACTAGTATTTTATTGTAGTTCAATTAAGTAGCTGCGTCAGCATGCGTTGGCTTAAAATGAACAAGAAAAGGTCTATTCCATGATGAAAAGAGAAGAAAAGAAACATTTCAGCTGAGGAACCTTCTTCAGGTGGTTCTTCAGCCTTCTTCACCTGAAGAAGACTCCACAGCCGAAACATTGTGTTTCTTTTCTTCTCTTTTCAGCCTAGTATTTTAAATTTGATTTTTGTATGCAATAGTGATTATTACAATATCACATTTCAGTTTATTGTAAAAGATTTCACCTCCTTTCAATGTTTTCTTTAATTCCAAATACACTTTGTAGAAATAATATTTTAATTAAAACTTAAATGGTCAAAAAGGTTAAATTAAGCAAAACTGCAAAGAAAAATCAAACACTAAAATGTTAAGTATGGGACATCACTGGAAGGGGGTGAATACCTTTGCAAGCCAATGTATGATATTCATTGTATGATATAAATATTTCATATAGCAGCTTTAAAAACAACTTTAAAAAAAAAATGAAAGCAGCAATAAAGATGGAAGATAAAATTAACAAAGAAACCAAGGTTTATAATGTAATAGGTGCAAAGGGGTAAATAGACTAACTTAAATATAAAGTTAATCTTTTTTAAAAAAGTTTGAGCCTGAATTTGAAGATGTTGAGGAACAATGACCAATATCCTTGGGGCTAGAAATCCAGAGCTTTGGGGCATAGTAAGAGATGGCCCCATCACCCAAAGAATGTATAAGAGCTTGGGGACAGACAAGAGGCCAGTCAGATGAATGGCTGCAGATGAATGAGGCTGCAAGGTGCAGTCTTTTATCTCAACTATTGTGTTCTTCCAGGTAATGAAGATTGCAAGTGATTGCAATAGTGTTGTTGATAAATCTGGAGAATACTAAAACGGTTAAGATGTATAATGTGGATATAGACAGTCCTACAGATAATTGGACAGATAGTTGGTCAGATCACACTAATGCATGGAAAGAGAAGCACAGATACACTCACCTAAAAATCCCTTGAAATCTTCTGGGCAGCCATGATCTGGCCAGTCAGTGTACTGTAGGTGCCAAACTGTCCTCTCTTGGCCGGTCAACAGGTGCTTAATTTTCAGGCCTGTTGTGGCATAGCAGCCTGAATCAGTCCTGAATCGTGTAGTGATTTTAAACCTTCCATACGTCACACTGTTATGCCTTGATCCAAGTCGGGGCCAGTACCTGAAACTCTTTTCTCTTCCACCCTCCTATAATATTAGCAAAAAGAATTACATTATGATCAGGTGGTTCTTTTATTTTAACACACCAGTTTCCTATTGCACCCATTTCTTTCATGACTATATACATGGTGGTATACTCAGTTTTATATATATACACATTTTAACATATATCCTTTGCTTGTGAAATAAACAGGAAGGTTTAGGTGCCACTGCCTTATTTCAAATCAGAACAGGAAAGCAAATGATGTTTTTAAACTCTGTTTGTGTAAAAGATATTTTAAATTTGAAGAAAGAGGAGTTAAAATGCTTCAGAAATCTTACCTCCTCTGCTGTAACCATTGCTATGATAGCAACTCCTTGCTCCCATACCATCTGCCAGAAGTCCTGACAGGTATTTTGTAGTGGACCCTGTGTAGTTATGTAATTCCACTCATTTCCTCCTACAGTCACCTTTGAAAGCAGGAAATATTTATTAAAAATTCAAGATCTTGACATACAAACTTGACTGGTTATTTTTTACCAAAAAAGCAGGAGTTCAATCATTTATTCTGTGGTATTCAGATATGTAAGAAAACAACTATTACAAAAATAAAAGTTACTGTTTCCGTATTTTGTACAGTAAACCCGGTACAATGCAGTGCTCAATTAAGACTGACCTACGAAATGAGAACTGTATTTTTATGTAGAATGCAGTACATTTTTTTCTGCCATGAGCAAAAATCATCTGTGTTTGTTCACACCATACTACAGAGGTTACTGAAAGTTATTTTAATAGTACTTTGATATGAGAAGCATTGATGTAGCCTGTGTTGTTCTCTTTGGTCGGTACAAGCTCCACTCTGGTGTCATCATAAGGCAGCACATCCTGGAAGCGATTCCTCTCAGCACTCTCGGGCTGCTGGGCGACAGAGCAGTCTGCATTCGCTCGCTTCTTGGGCACCTGCTCATACTCTGTGAAAACCATGCCTCTCTCTAGTCTCTCCTCCAAAATTTTGCACTAAAAGTCATAAAAAAATTCACAATAAAATAATTAGGGTAATTTTAAGCATTTTTAAGAATTTACGCTATTAAAACCACCAATGGAACAAAACACTTAAGCTGACCAATCATGACAGTCTCTAAAATTCTATAATTTAATATGTACAAGTAACATCCGTTTTCTCCCACTTCCAAAAAAAAACTTCAGAATACATGTGTACATACAGCACATAAAAACACCATAAATAGCTATGACATCCTGGAAATAATGAGCTAGGTTTCCCATAAAGTACATCACAAAAAGGCATACCCTTTCATCATTCGATGCCATTTCAGGCTCATCCTTACTGTCATCGTGTATGGTCATCCTGTACAACGTTAGTCCATTCAGAGCTGCCAGCTTCAGTGGGCCCATTTTCTTGATATCAGATTTATTTCCTTTTTTCATTCCCTAAAATTGAAAACACAGAACTAAGATGAAGACATCCGTATACACCAACCAAACCTAAGCATAATGTAACAAGTGCCACAAAAAGAACTTGCAATAGGATTCAAATGTCAAGAATGTACAACACAATCCCTGTTGTCATACTGCATTCTTCTGTCACAGGTACAGCACACTGGTATGCAAAACCCACACCCAGAAACTACACAGAATCCTATTGCATTTACGTGTATTCCTAGTTAAAATCTTTCAAATACTTTGCATAGCCTAGCACCAACGTTGTACACTAAAAGGAGCAGATACTAACTGCAAATCTTTTGCCGTCAGGTTTAAATAAGTAAGCCATGTGGTGTAGATTATGGGAAAAAAATGGTGACTATCTTTAAATAGGTTAAAGGTTTTTCACCCAGCATTGTGAATTAATCAAAAATTACAATGTAGATACTTTTATTGTTATAAATATAATTATAGAAAAATATATGTATAAAATAGCTACAGTTGGGGATTTGGCAGTGATATGCAGCCCATAAATTTCAGAAACAATAATAAGATATAACAGTATTCGAATCATCCTTGGTGATCAACAATCAACAAAACAACTTCTTCTCTAGAACAAAGACTTTGCATGATCATCAAAAAAAATGAATTTGTGATGGAAAATGAACATTTATCCACCCATTTCCTAACAGCCTTGTCTAGTGTAGGGTCAAGGGAATTAACATCTTATTGGAAATAAAGTACTGATTGTGCACCAAATGTACTTAAAACAATTTTGAAATATATTTTAATACACTAATAATATTACCACATGTATGAAAGGATGTTATTATTAACAAAACTATAGATGCCACCTTTTTTGAAAGGTACATGAAATAAGCCAGATACTAAAAGCCATCAAATGTTTTATTCCAATATCCAGAGCCTATCCTGGTGAGCAGAGGGCACAAGGGAAGACACATTTTGGATGAGATACCTTTCCATTGCAGGGTAGTCACACAAATAGACACAAATACACATACACTTACACCAGGACCACCATTTACCTACTCATGTGTCTGGAGGAAACCCATGCGAATACATCGAGAACACAAACGCTACGCAGATAGCACCCCAGGAGTTGAACCTGGGGTTCAAGCACTGCGTGGCAACAATGTTAACAACTGTACTTCCTTACCACAGAAACTGCACGCAAAAAAAAACTTTAAATGACACAAAAAAGAAAATTTAAAGTGCAGCATAACAAATGGAGGATCCTAACAAATTCAAAATGTAAACAAGAATCGCCTTCAGTTCATCAAGAACATTTGTTTTTTGTTCTTTAGCGTCTCCTACACACACAAACAGTTTAAAAAGTTATTCTGTTCAGTAACATAACATTATTCCATTATCACAAAATTACAATAGTGTGTCAAGACTATTTAACCTAACCATAATTGCCATCTGTGCTTGTTTATAATTTATTACTGCATTTACTTTTATCAAATTATCAAAACCTCAAAGTCTGAATATTCTCAAACTCTTATTCACTTAGAATCTGTCTTTACACTTCAGGTAAAAATGAATAAAGCACTAACTGGTATTTATTTTTCTGATTATTATTATTAATGGTTAAGACTTTTAAGGACATTGAAAGAATGATTCTATTGTCTTGTGTAAATACTTGTTTACATTAAACCAATTTTATTGCAAAACAACTGCAGGAAAAATAGTTTACAACTTAAAAAGAAGCTGAAAATGTACTTACTCCTAGAGGAGGGAGTCCCTCCGCAGGGTTTCTTTTCCCAGGTGGTACATCAGAGTTAGGTCTCTTTTTGGCAGAGTCTCTCTTGGCCTTCTGCCTCACAGAGCAGCTAAGGTCTGACTCTGACATGGATGGCAAAAGCACACCTTCCTCCCTTCTCTGAGGCCTACCATCAATGACCAAGAACACAGGGCTTCCCTCTCTAGGCAGCCAATCTGTCTCCAGCTCCCGCACGAGAGGGTGCGGTTGATAAGTAAGAGGCCCTGGCAGGGAGGGAACAGCATTATAAGGGTAACAAGAGACAGGGTCAGCAGATGACTGACCCAACAAGGCTACATGCTGCTCAACGCTACCAGTAGCATCCTGGGACTGGGGTGTGTGCCTGCCATTTTCATCGTCAAACTCTTCCTCCTCTCCACTGCTATGTACCAGCATGGTTGCATCTGAGAGGGACTTCTTGTGTCCATAATGCAGGTCTTCTTTACTGTTGCAGTCATCTGGTTTTATTTTTTCAAGGAACACGTTAGCCTGTGATCCCAAAGCTGTCACCCTGGGAGGTGGGGTCTCAGCAGCAGAAGCTGACATAGTCCTCTCTTTCAATTTCATGCTATCAAAGCCATAAGCCAACCCTGCTATTTCAATGCTGTTGCGCTTCTTCATGTGTGCATGCTTGGCAGTGGTCAAGGGTTCACTCACTTCCTGCAATGAATGTGCCACTGGCAGGCTGTCCTCTTGGAAGGTCTGCACAGAGTGATGAACTCGCCTTGTGATGAGATCCGGATTGCTGTTGCTGACGTACAAGTGGCGAGAGAGGTCAGGTGTACTGTTGGCTGGCCGAGGATAAGGATAGGGGGGGGGTGGGCGGTAAACTTGTGTTCTCATGATGTTGGGAGTTGGGTACTCCTGAGCCTGGAGCTGAGCATTGGTCAACTCAGGAACACTCACTGCACCAACCACTGGTCGCCTATCAGCAGGATAGAGGTAAGGAGAGGGACTATGGAAACTGTAATTGAGGTGGAAAGGATATTGGTTGGTGTTATGAGAGTTAAACTGGGCATGCTCCCTAATCTCCGGCTGACTGTATACCAAAGGGTCAGGACGACTGTAAGCATACGAGTTGCCAATGTTGAGGTTCCTCATTGAGTGGCTCTGTCGATCTTCTTGCATCATCTCCCGGTTCTTCTGCCTCATGACAGTTTCGTAGTCGGGGGTGGCCCGATAGGAGGGTGGGATCAGAGCACTATGGCGGTGAGAAGGTATGTAGTCTGTCCTCATTACATCACTTCCTGTTATGCTGGGGTTGGAAGACATGGGAGACGGCTGCATGTAATGCTGTGGGTTATTGAGAGAGCTCGTGCTATGTGCACTATAGACACTCCCATTTCTAATTCTGCCATTGTACTCATGAGGAGACCTATCCAAGCTTGTCTGAGAGTGATAGTAATATCCATTCTGATTATTAATGTAAAGATTGTCTGTAGGGAAAAAAAAATTGTTACTGCAGAATATGGTTTCCTAAATGCCTAAATATAAAAATATTATCTCAAATATGGTAACCAAGAAAGTATTGTTACATTTATTTTCATAAAAATTAACATAAAATATATATTGTATAAAAAGCAATCTTAAAAACCAAAAATCAACAGAGCTGTTTTAGAAAAAAAACATCCAAATCCAACCATTACAAACTACTGTAAAAAATTACAAACTGGCACGGTGTCAAAACAATTTTATACAGTTCATTATCAAACAGTACAATTGAAACGTGTGCTCTCTCAATCTGCCCCTGAATAGTCAGTAGTCCAGCAGATGCTGCCGTCTACAATACATTGTAATCCCAAATTACCATGTAAAGGTAATGTGAGTGTTGTTGAACCCAACATTGTACCCAATGACACATCCTGAGTGAGCCTGCAAACCTGATGTTATGTAACAGCCTGTTACCAGCCAATTAGGGATGACGAGATTACCTTGAGACGATGTGTAGGGTTCGGTGTAGTGTCCATTGTAGTGTACCTGAGGTGGAGGCATCATGTAAGGCTGGGGTTTTGGCTTAAAAAGAAGACAAAAAGTAATTTAACATTTTTTTTATTTTATCATCCACTACTGTGTGTAAGTTCTTCAAGCCAGAAGAAGGTGAAAACTTACTGCTGGACTGTACTCTAGAAAAAAGAACATTCAGCCTTATTTCACAATTCTATTCTCTGCAGTAACCTTGGCTCATGGCTCATAGATATTAATATTTATATACTCTCCCACTACCTGGCTGAACAGTTTTGGCTACACACTTGGTAACCAATAAGCTAACATGAGACCCAAACACAGCTCTCACCTCAACAAAATAATAAAAAAATGACATCTGTGTGCACACACAACTGTACTTTTCTAAAGTACTGGTATGTTGTTGTACATCAGCTGCAGTAAATCTTGGGTCTTGGGTTGCCCATTCTTCACTGATATTCCTCTTACATAAAGAAGATAAGCACTATTACACATGGCCTGATTAGAATAGCTCTTGCTTGAAATGAGCTTTGAAAACTGTTGACTCATGATTAGGATTGTGCTGCTTCAAGTAACAAATTGTTTAGTGTACTTTGTTGTTAGTGGAGATTGTTGTTTATTATTCCAGGCACTAACTATTCAAAACCTAGGTAGATTTTATGTAGACTTTTAATTATCAAGAACTGATGTTTGTCAAGACTTAACATAAACAGCACCTTCTAGTCTTTGAATTGACAATTTAGATACTACAAAGTCACCAAAAAGCCAATTCCCTCTTTCTCATGTCTGATTGGCTTGCCATTTTCAAACTGCTGAGGTTTTAAATCCACATGGATGCATTTTGGCAGTATACTGATTTGTGCTTACCTCAGTTTTAGGATTTTACAGTTCTAAAATAATCAGCGCTTAAGTATTATCCTAAGTAAAATGTTATAGTTCACTTTTGTTACAGAGTAAAGGAAGCACCTCTAAATCATCGTTTTTCTCTCTACATGCCTCATTAAATAACACTATTAGCCAGTCCTCTCAACTTACATTGTAGTTGCTTTCCATTTCCACCACTGAATACATGTATATACTTGGTTGTTAGTTTGATCTGATATATCAAATAGTTATGAACTAAAACATATTAATCTGATAAAGTTCAAAGACAAACCATTTGACATTGCAATTAATTCAACAAACGCTCAAAATCTAAACAAAATCCCTTGATTTTCTAACAAAAATGTGCATTTACTTTTTCACAGTTCTAATGGAACAAATTCATTCTCCTAAGATTATGTAAATCGCTCAGATTGGTTCCCAAATCCTAGAAAAAACACACTTTACCATACCTTTACCAATACTAGTATGTACTAACAAGAAAACAAAATTTACCAATAATTTAATTTTGTGTAGTACAAAACCATTGCAATGACAACAGTGATATTTATGATACTTTGACCTTTAAATTCTGGCTAACTTAACAGACCTTTTCATATGTCAAATGATGTTTATATTGTACAGTAGTTAAGATTTTTAAAGTAATATAAACACTCTAAGAAAACTTGCAAAAGCTTTCTTTAATGAAACCTTATTTTAATATAATCTAACTTTTTACATTGGTAAATTCATTAAAGAATAAATTAAGAGCACACAGCTTTGGTTATTAAGAATCAAAATTAAGATTTTATTAAAAAGTTTAAATGAACACACACTAGAAAACTGACACTGATAAACAGGAGGAGCTGCACTGACTGATGTTGCTGGTGGTGTAATGCTGTCAATGAGCGGTTACTAACCATGGAAGAGGTATTAGGGTCTAGGTACAAATTCTGCTTGTTACAGCAGAATACAGGTTTGCATTTCTATAAATATGTATACATTTGCGGACTTTATAATAGCAAAATCCTTAATAAGAACGCTGTAGACGATGTAGGATGCTTGGATATAGGCTACACTAAAGTGTACTCTACCCCCTACAATAGGATGCTCATTAATGAAACAATTATGCCACTATAGTAAAAACAAGTTTTTCGAAAAATTGGTACAAATTTGTGGGATATCAGAGGTTCCCAAAACACTTTACATATAAGTGGGGACTCACTTCTTCCACCACTGAAGTTCTGCATTCATCCTGCTGAACCCTAACAGCCCCTCTGCACAGAAGATCAGGGACGGAAGTGTGGAACATCTTCTCCAATTAAATTAAGGTGGAAGCTTAAGTAGAGCAAATTCTATTTGGGATGTTCAAATTCACAGAAAATGAACAGTGACCTTTAATGATTATGTACTCAGGATCATAGTTTAATATGTCTTACAACGTATGAAATCTCCCACAGCATGTCGTATCCAATCCCCAAAGTGGCTTAGAAATTGTGGTTCAACACGACTTGCAGCAGCAACCTGCGTCTCCCATCCTACTGCTGACCAGCCCTAGTCTTGCTCAGCTTCTGAGATCAGGCTAAGAGCGCATACTTTCCAGAAAATCAACATAATGCCAAAGTGGTGTTTTGCAGAGATACAGAATATGTAATAAAATATTTAAACCTCTATTACATAAAGCATTCACAAAACAATTTCTACATCTCAGACCTCACAACACTGCAAGAGGTGTTATTTCAAATCATAAAGTCACTCATGAATGTTGATGGATGGATTCAGTGGTTTGTTTGGCAGTGTCCTGGTGCTACAGCTGCAAGAAATTAGAGGAATCCTTACCAGTGTTCATCCTGTACATGTCCTACCATTAACATTATGATCAGAACTTTAATGTTGCATTAATTTTAACAATGGCATTTCTTCTAAAGCAGTGTGCAACATCTCTTTTGGAACATTTCACCCCAAAATATGCACCATACCCAAATACTCTATAAATTGTGTCACCCATGTTTATGAACAGAATTACTTTTTGTTGTAAATGTACGGTTGCTTGACGTGTCTTAACACTGCATATATATAATACTTGTTCCAATGGACAAAATAAACATGCAATTTAGGATTTCAAGATATTATGCTTTAATATTTTCCTTTGTCATGTTTTCATTTAAATAATGTATGTCTGCAGTAAATACAATGCATGAATCACAAAAATTAATTGGAAGATATAATGAATTTATTAACCTCTTTGTCATATAGTTTTTTTCTGCCAGTATATTAACATACCAGAGACATCCTTGTTGAAGATCTCCTTCTTACTGGATTAACTGGAGCATTCTGAGTTTGTCTGTAAAGCAGAAAATATCAATCAGCCACTCTTGAAAGTCCTAAAAATATATAATTTTCTGTAGCCCCAGACGACTGTTAAAGATAAAATCTGACAATGCTGCATAAAGCACAGAAAATACAACTGGAGAATTAGGGGATAGTATTTTCACTATGCAAAGACTAAGGTGTATAATAGTGGAGCTTGCATTCCTATTCAATCGCATAATTCTACGGCACTGTCAAGAAAATAAGATGTTCTCTATATAATAGCATGGACAATATCATGGAGAGGAAGGGTTTCTGCTTATGAAAGTTGGTTGCTCACCCTTTGTTAAGCAGAGAAGGACGAGAAAGCATTGGTAAGCGAGGAAAGGAAATAGTGAGTAAAGACTTCTGGGAGCCCTCAGAAGGTGCTGACTCAGATGGCTCTCTGGAGACAGGAAGGGGACAGAAATAAGGGGACTACTGACTCAGCAAAATCACTGTCATACCAGGAAAACTGCAAACCACTTACAGACTGGTTTTGTTAATTTTGTAAAATTTATGGCGCGCAAGGCACATCCTGCAAACGTATTTGGAAGTTTCCATGTCATCCTAAAAAAGAAAAAAAATAAATTCAAAGTAGCAGAATGGGATCCCATTTGTTTATAAGTTCATACAATACTGTCCATCAATCACAGGTGGTACCAGATGTTACAATTTGGCAAACTGCAGAAAATAATTCCTGGTTATTTACAGATAGGTTTCCAATCATAGAACTAGAGGTCCATAGGTCACATAATTTAATTTGAATTGCAGTATGAAGAACTGCACTGATAACTATTTTCTTGTACAATTTCTGACTTTATCATATTTACATTTTTATAGCAAACACAAATACACAAATTAGGCAACAACTGAACTACAAATTGACACAAGAACATTACATAAAATGAAGAAATAAGATATTTTGAGAGTTTGCTCTAAAATGCTCATTAAATTCACTCTAGAGGTCTTAGTGTACTCTTAAACATTTAATTTAATGCAATTTCCATTCTTAAGCTGATACCATTTCTCAAGCTAAATTATTTTATAAAATTATTTTACAGTTAACCAAACAGAAGTAAAAAATATTTGCACATGGTTAAAAAGTACCTGTACATCAAATGAAAGGGCTAACTATTGAGGAAATGATTTCAACAATGCAGTATGTCTTCCATAAGGCAAACAAAAGAACACATACATACATTGTACTATGATTCACCAACAGGACAGATACCAATGATTAAATATATTAAATTACACATTTAAATAAATTAATATCTTAAATATTACATATTGACATTTGCAGAACACTGCAAAATGCAGAACTTACAGTCTGGAATTGAATGGTTTCTTCCTTGTTTGCCAGCTCTAGTGCAAAGAACGATTTGTTGTGAGTCATGCTGGTAATATCATTCCACCTAGAAAGCCAAGTGAAATAAAATTAAGTACCAATACTTTTGTTAACCATACTTGTATTATAGTATATGAAAGAAAGCATACAGCCTTTGTAATGAGAACAAACCTCAAACTAATGTGAATAGCTAAAAATTACCAAGTGCCAAACAAAAAATCAGAACCCTATATTTTAGAGCCTATATTTTGTATGAGACTCACAACATTAGAACCTGATCACATCTCTTATGACTGGATCCTTGAAAAGTTAATACATGTTTATTTCTTACCTAAATATACTAGGAGGCCGACCATTTTTGTGCTTCACAAAGATCCCATCCAGACATGCCCCAAGAACTAAATCATTCCCTTGGCTATCCTGTGTCCAGAGCAAAGACATGGATAAAAAGCACAAGATCACGCTTCACCTGAGTCCTATTTAAACATTCAAACAATTCTTCTCAAGTTTCAACACAGTTCAATGGCTGCCTGATTTTGTTTTGGATACTTCTGAAGAATTACTGTTTCAGAAGAGATATCTATGTAGTTTTATGTAAAGTTCAGGGTGTGAAAATAAAAAAAATAAATATATATATATTTTTTTACTGTTGACTCTTTTGACATCACTAAAAATAATTTAATAAAGTAAAAATATCCACATAATAGTTTAATGTTTGGAACAATACAGTCAGTTTTCTACAATAAATTTAAACATTTCCACTACCACTAATTCTTACTACACAAGAGCTAGTTTGTTATTAAACAATCGAGTCACAAAATACTGGTTATGTCTGCCTTAACAAAGCATGTAAAGCATGTAAAAAATTGTATAGAAAATTTCAATCATGACAGCTGTTTTTTTAGACATCTTCTCCCTTACCCCTTTATTACCCTCTCCCTTACCACTGAATCAATGGTAATTACTGCACAGGTTTTCCATAATGGGGGGCTCCTCAGGAATGTAGCTATTACGTAAGTAGCAGAACTGTCTGCACTACTATTAAAATGCATTTTCTAACTGTAGTTCACAATTTCTTCCAAATCTGCAAGAATACGTTTTTTTTTTTTTACCTTTGCATGGTAACTTTCCTGGCCATACCCATCCATCTTCTCAACTTCCTGCATGTATAACATTTCTGCCTCTGGTGGCTGAAGCCCTCTAACAAATGAAAATCATTAACAGTCCAAAATAAAAAAAAACACATTGTGAAAGCAAGTCCTTGCTACAGAATCTTAATCTGAGATCATTTCAATGTCTTTAATAACTAACTCAATTAAATATTGGCTTTATAGCTCAGATTTATTTCTTTTGTTCTTTACATTACCTGTACTTTTGGTGTAGCAAGGCCACTTTCTGTGTGGCCTCTTCAAGCATTCTTTCATCTTGAATCCATCCCTTGGACACAAAAGACAAAACAAAAAAAAAGTAAAATAACCGATTACCTAATCTAACAATTACATACAAAAAGGGATGTTGTATTCAATAGTTGTAAGTTGTACTAAACCAGTGCACATTAATGAAATGATCAAATAAAAAAAGAAAGGACTTACAATTGGAAACAACACAAACTTCTGTAGAAATTCCTGGGATTCATAATGATCAAAATCACCAAAATCAGCTGAAAAAAAAAAGTTATTTAATTCTTCAATTTACAAAATTTCAATATTTTTCTTTAAAATAAAAAGCCAGTTTCAGATGGCATAAGAATACCAGGGTACCTCTAAGACATGCTTAAAGCAAGGCTATCAGCGTCTGTTCCTGGGCAGCTAAAGGATCTTCCAATTTCAATCTAAATCAAGATTCTTAATTGTCATATTCTTCGTTAAGAACATAAAAAATTTACAAACAAGAGGAAGCCATTTGGCCCCTCGCCCATTTGTATTTCACTGTTAATTTGAAAAAACCTGGGGCCTTTGAAAATTCTGAATACTTGAACAAGGTCATGTAATATTCTTTATTATTTAAGATTAAAATAATTTTACAGGCTAAAAAAAAATCAAAATTTCTTCCAGCAAAGGAATATATCTGTTTGCTCTTCTCTAAAGCAACAAAATTATTTTTGGAACAGTGTCCAAAACTGCAAGCATTCTAAATGGGGTATTAGTGGATCTCTTAAGTTAATTAAGCAACTTTATCTAAACCCATAATGATTTTCTCTTAGAATCCTTGTGCCAAGCAGATGATCTTCTAGCTTAGCTCTAATTACCACTGCAATAACCTGACATGCAATAGACGCAAGAGCTATTGATCACTTACTTCTCGCTTTTGTCACCTTTAATTGTGGATGGATGCCACATTAATCATTTTCCAGTAAGTATATTTACATATCTACTACTATAAAAGCTTTGCAAAAAAGTAAAAGAATTGCATCTTTTTTTTACTTAAGTACAATAAATAGAATACATCCAGGTTCCGGTAATTTGTTTATATGCTTCAACATTTCTTTTTTTTTTCCACACAATTGGTAGAAAACTATCAAGCCCTGTAAATTTACCTTAAATGCTTCCAGTGCCTGTAACACTTCTTTTTTCATGCTAATATTTAATATTGATCTTTGACTTTGCAGAGCCTGAGGCATGTTTTCCAAGGCAAGTGAAATATTAATTTAATACAAAATATTAAATTTTACAAAACATTATTTTACTCATCTCAAAAGTTTCCCACTTATATCCAGCACTCAACCTTCTACTGATATTTTTCACTGCAATTAGATGAGTCTGTATTCGATTTGGCCAATTTGCTTGTTCACGTTAGATACTGTATGAGTTTGAGGGAACATCCCATGAGGACTTTCTGTTCTGTAAACCGCTACCAAGAGGAACTACAGGAGAGCACATACTTCAGCTTCTGAATGAATGTATCGAAGAGAATGGCATCGACTGGATAAAATGTGTCGGAGTTTGTACAGACGGTGCAAGAGCGATGACAAGCCGACACAGTGGTGTGGTTGCATGAATTAAGAGAAGTTGCTCCAGAAATGAATGGACGCATTGCAACATCTAGCGCGAGACCTTAGCCGTCAAGACAATGCCTGACGATTTAAAATCTGTTAGACTCTGTTGTGAAGTTTTTAGGGCTGTAGAAACCACTCATTTTCTCACCTTAAAAGAATCCTGCCAATAAAGTAAATGACATTCACAATGTTTTGAATGCAATGCTATGTCTATCAAGCTTGAACTGGACTACCCATTATCTTATCAAGAAGGCTTACTAGAAATTGGTGTTAAAATATTCAAAACATTTAAAATGAATAACAATGGCTAGAGACTATGAAATCTACTGTGAAAAGTTTACAGGACAGGGAGAAATGAGATCTTGGTGACATAGCAATGGGCAATGAATCAGCTGAAGAGATGATCCTACTCAAAAGTTGTTCAAACAATAAAAAAAATATATTTTTTAATTTTCTTATGAAACCATACCTTGAACAGCTAAACCAGCTAACTGAACAGCTTGTTCTACTGAGCAAGGGATCCGCCCCTCCAAAACATCCTTCTTTAGCTGAAGATAATATTGGTATCTGCAAAGGAACAGAAAAGTTATATATTCCAGTAAAAATATAAACTTGTAAAGCAAACAGCTCAGTTAGACAGATAATACTTCATTAATCACATAGGGAAATTGATGATATTTAAGGAAATTAAATATTATTTTCTTAATATATCTGACAAAGAGTGACAACACTCAACAGCATGTTTTATTAAGAAGCTCACCTTGTTATTTCTTGTTGCAGCTGAGACACACTTGGCACATAAAACACAACCCCAAAGTAAACTGTAGGCTCTAAGCCATATTTGTCAAGTTGTTTCTTCAGAGGTTTTTCCAAATCTACCCATCTTTGTTGACTCTGCTTGTTGAGATACCAAAGACTAAAATAGGTCACCTGTTAAGACAAAATGCAAAGATATTATTTTGATGCCAAGAATGGAAAAGCAGAGATTCTATATAAATTAATCAAGACCTTCTGTCCAATGTAGTCTATTTTTTAAAATGAGGGAAACCAGCTATAGCAGAGAAAAATATACTATTTTAGGTGGAGAATAGGCATTTAAAGAAATTGTACTGAAATCTGAGGCTTTAGTAGTCATTTCCGGACTGAAATTACACTAAAGAGACTAACTTCACCAGCAGCCAAATCACCCTGCAACTCACAACTGGCCTGGTCAGTACCTGGATGGGAGACCTCCTGGGAAAACTAAGGTTGCTGCTGGAAGAGGTGTTAGTGGGGCCAGCAGGGGGTGCTCACCCTGTGGTCCATGTGGGTCCTAATGCCCCAGTATAGTGACAGGGGCACTATACTGTAAACGGGCGCCGTCCTTCGGATGAGACGTAAAACCGAGGTCCTGACTCTATGTGCTCATTAAAAATCCCAGGGCGTTTCTCAAAAAGAGTAGGGGTGTAACCCCGGCGTCCTGGCTAAATTTCCCATTACCAATTCATGGCCTCCTAATAATCCCCATCTATGAATTGGCTTCATTACTCTGCTCTCCTCCCCACTGATAGCTGATGTGTGGTGAGCGTTCTGGCGCACTATGGCTGCCGTCGCATCATCCAGATGGATGCTGCACATTGGTGGTGGTGGAGGGGAGTCCCCATTACCTGTAAAGCGCTTTGAGTGGAGTGTCCAGAATATAAGTGTATATATAAGTATAAACTCTAAGTATAAAGCTATATAAGTGTAAGCAATTAATTAATAAAATTAAGACAATCTGAATATGATTAAATCTAAGAATTATGTACTTTTTGTACAGAGTGATATTAGTATCACTTTAGGGGCGGAGCGGTGGCTCTATGGTTAAGAATCTGCGCCTGTGACTGGAAGCTTGCCGGTTCAAATCCCGCGGCCGGCAGGGGAATCCTACTCCGTTGGGCCCCTGAGCAAGGCCCTTAACCCTAACTGCTCCAGGGGTGCCGTACAATGGCAGACCCTGCACTCTGACCCCAAGCTTCTCTCCCTGTCTGTGTATCTGTGTCTCCATGGAGAAAAGCTGGGGTATGTGAAAAGATGAATTCCTAATGCAAGAAATTGTATAGGGCTAATAAAGAAACATTATTATTATTAGTAGTAGTAGTACACTAGTTATAATAATTTTAATAGTTTCAATGTAAAATGGCAATTTGTTGAAAAAATACACAATGAACAATAAAGGTGAAAAACCAAATACTTGTAACAGACTGCAAACGTACTGTATTTTGTGATCCAATTGTTCATATTTTTTTTGTATAAAAGTCCATTGAAAATCTATTCAAGTCTGTGGTATATAAAGATATATAACAATAAAAGAACAGCCACTTCTCAGACATAAAAATGATGCTTAGTAGATGGGAAACATACACACAAATCAACACATTTAAAAGAATACTTTTTTTTTTATTTTAAAGCATTTTATTCTGTTTCACTTGGTTTACAGGTTTATACTGAAAACAAACCTTCAAATCGCCCTCGTTCCAGGAAAAAAATCTAAAAGTCATGTGTCAATACATAGATACAGTATCAATGACATACTGACTCCAGACATAATGCAAATTGCTATCCAGGTCCTTTCACATCTGCTTAGGTGACTAATGGCATAATTCATCAACCAACTAAGGTAAATTGAATCAGATATGATTACAATAACACCTTTCAAAAACGATTTGATAATAAAAGGTAATGATACCTTCTATACAATTCACTTATAATTAGGAAAACTAAATGAATTAGATGGGAACCTTACCATTACCATCTCAATAATCCTTCAGTGAATGTGTAGTACAACACAAGGGAATACTTAAGAAAACTTTTTAAACAGTTACAATGCCTTTAGCACCAAATATGCTTACCTTTTTGTAATTATATGTGAATATAACCCCCCCTCACAGAATTATAACTAAATCAAAGTTATCTCACTGTAACAAGCAATATAATCACGCACATTAAAGACCTAAAAGGCCAGAGTTATTCCTCATCTTGAAGTTTCTTTTCCGAACTTATTGTAGCCACATGATGTCACTGTATGACTAAATGGATTTGACATTCAAGTAGCTGAAATTAGTAGCATTTAATTACTCATGTGACAACACTTCCTTTTCTGCACATTAACAATGTAAATGCAGGTTTTCTGTACCATATACTATCCCACCTCTTCATCTTATTAGTGGTTTCTTTTATTACACTGCCAACATAAAAAATATATAGCATAACAGTATGTAATATGAAATGTTTACTGCGACAATAACAGTCAGTGGTCAATCACATACAGTGGTTTTGACTCACCATTTTTTTACCAAAAGGGAAAAAAACGTTTTGCTATACCATTTTCTTAATTCATTTCTTCCATGTTCATTTTATGGCATATGACAGTGAATTGTTTATAAAGTTAAAACTCTTAATGATATATCAGGAAAGAACAGGCACATCTTCCATGAAGAAAGAAATTCCAAACTACAAAACAAATTAAATATGATAAAAATTATCATACCTCTCGCAGCTCTAGGCGTTGTGCTACTGCCTCCAAACACTCCTGCCCTGTGCTCTCCACAGAAAGGGTAAATTCCACAAATTCACTGTTCAAGAGCTGAATACGAGTTACGAGGCAACTCTTGCTAGATACTGTGTACCTTCGGGTCCTCTTGAGCTTTAATCCAAATGGTAAGGGCATTGTGCTCTCTCCTCCACAAAAATGTCCCTTTATTAACCAAAAATATCTCTGTCTCTGTCTTTAAAAAACTGTCCAGTAACAGGTGACAGGAGAATCAGGCCTTTATGCACCACAAACATATGTGTCTGCAGAAAAAAGAAAAATAACATTATTCACAAAGCATATGGTTCATTAATGTTGCCACCACATCCAGTAAAATACTGAACTACCATAACAGAAGGCAAGACTACAACGAAGCCAAGGAGCGACACTTTCTTATTTTGGATTTATCTGATAATACATGCCCAACACATTCTAAAGGAATGCAACTGGAAAAAGCACGCAGTTAGAACAAATGAAATAAAAGATACAAAGAAAAATATGAACAATAAAGAACTACACAGTGCTTTACAAGAATAAAAAAAGCTCATATTCAATTAAAGAACCTGGTCTTTCAACTCAAGGCTAAAAAATATTTTTTTCCTAGAAAAACTACGCTTACAAACACCACAGAAAATTATCTTACTTTCACAATGAAAAGTCTACCTCAGCTCAATTGTAAGCCATATTATTTTTCACTTTAATGTGCATGCCACAAGATTTTCATATACTGTTATTATTTAGCCATAACAACGATAAAAACAATGCTAATTACATGCATGCAACATCCTACTCAACTACTTCAATTGACTCCATTAAGCGTCATATGCTGAGTGTTTATCTAATCATGCATGTGGTCTATATATCTTTGAATTCTTTGGAGCTTTTTAATCTTTTGCATCTTCTAAAGTGGTTATTTTTCCTAGTTTAGCAGAATCTTTAAATTAGCCATTTGCCAGTGAAACCAGAACTTTTATATCATTAATATAAATTGGAAAGAGTAGTAGTGCACAGAGATTCCTATAGCAGCACGCCAATTACACCATCCCAATTGACCCTTTTCTGTATCCAGTTTCCTGCTTATAAATCAGTTCTTTACCCTAGTACATGCATGATATTAAATGCCTAACACTTGCCATTTAATAATGTATCTTTTATAAGAAACTATGTTTGCATTGTGAAAATCTAAATACACCACATCACAAGCATCATTACTGCTGTTGCCCATTCAAAGAAATAACTTAAGTTAAGCAAGACAAGACTGTTCAAAATTCATATGAATTATTAGCCCATAGTATGTTATTCCAATACAGGTGTTCCCTTTGTTTAAATGTTTGCTTCTGCAAACTAGACATGCTGGTCTATAATTTATTTTGTCACCATTTTTATGAAAGGATGCCGCATTAGCAATCTGTCAATCAGTGGGTATTATCCAGTTTGAAAGACCAGTGAAAGAGTTAGGTTAATGAATGCAATTGATATTAAGTACAATGTTCTTAAGTACAATTGGAAGAATACCATCAGACCTGATATTGTGTTTCTAGTACCTGTAATACTTGTTTTTTTTGTCTCTACTTCAACATTATTTAATATGGAACTGTGTCTTTCCTCAACGTGCAGCAAGCTGTCTCTTCCTTGAGAAATACCTGAGCAACATTTAATTAATCAGCAATTTCTGTTTGATCAATTAAATGTTTCTCTAAGAACTTTAACTTCAGCCTTTACCATTCATCAGCTATTATAATATTGTAAAAGCCTCATTAGTTTTATGCTCCTTAAGAATAGTCCTGTTTCCTGGCCTTCCTAATAACCTTTTCTTGCCCGTGCATGGAGTTCATTACAATAACTTAATTTATCCAGGTGGATGCTGCACATTGGTGGTGGTGGAGGGGAGTCCCCATTACCTGTAAAGCGCTTTGAGTGGAGTGGCCAGAAAAGCGCTATATATGTGTAAGCAATTAATAATAATAATAATAATAATAATAATAATAATAATAATAATTTAACTGGATCTTGTTCTTCTTTGAATCATTTATAAATGTTTTTTTTCTTGTTATATCCCTACTTTGGATTCCACCCCATCAAACATATATACCCTGTATATTTATATCTGTATGGAAAAACTGAAAACAAATACATGACCTAGTATTGCAAATCTGACAATACCATCAACCAATAATACATCCTGGGACCTGCAGTCAGTATTTCGATAGGAATTCGATCACGCCGAAACTCGAAACTCGGAGAGAAAAGAGGAACCGACCTAACTTGTCCACCTCAGGCATCACCGGATAGAGCTACTCGATCCGTACAGACCTCCGATTCCAAATCATGTACAGTCCATTACAATCAGCATATCAGACAAAGAATATGTCAGTCCCTTCTTGAAAGATTTGTGATATTTGTGTAGCACACACACTGGAAAACAGCACACCAAACAAAACAATGCGTAGGAACCAATTTCTGACCAAGATAAATTATATACACTTTTAAAGTGAAGAAAAATCCCCAAACTGTCCAGGTTTAGATATTTCGGATTGCAAGCAGTGGCTTATATTAATATAACCGTAAACAAAACCTGGTCGTTGAACACGAAAACAAATAAAGCGAGTATTATACTAGTAGTTTCTTCCCAACTCATACATGTAACTGGCGATATTACAATAACAAGATCATAACTCCGCCCGTGATATTAACAAAACGCGCATTAAGTAAAAAATATTACATCAGGGAAAAGTGGGAAATAACAATGTATATCAAAAGACTACTGGCAATGATAAAACATAAACAAAATGGCTATACTGCAAAGCTAAATCTTTTTTAATCTCTCAAGTGACTAACTTTCCGAGTCGCACCAAAACATAGGTTGAAATAGGCTTTAAACAAATTACCTGCTCATACCATCCACCCCAATCAAACTGGCTTCATTATGTGATGCATTCATCTTTTCCTGTCACTCGATTTACTTATTACATTTACTACACTTGGATTTACAAAAAAAATCCCTTCTCAGTCGGAATCAACATGCTGGAAATCAACAGGTCACTCCGAAAACACGCTTCACTTCCTGTCCATGGTGAACAGACCGTCTGTGTATTCATCCACGGAACTATTTTACTTTTGCCTTTTTAACGAAGGTCCGTCTTTGTTCAAATGCGAATGAGCTTGAAAATGTGCGTAACTAGTATTCTTTCTGTGTTTAGTAATTGAAAGAGTTTATGGGGTTAGTTAAGTGTTGTCGTAGCGCGTTGATGCAGGCGGCGTACTACACAAGCGCCGTGCGGCGTTTGCAGCCCATGACCTCAGGGAGCTGGAATGCCCAGGCAGGGACACGCCAGGAATGAGGCAGCTGGTTCGCTCGCAGCGAGCGATATTGTTGCACACAGTAGCAGCTCAGCACTTGAACAACAACGCTAGAAAGTACTCGTCAAAGCTATTTGTTCTTTAATTTGTAACAGCCTTGCCGTATGAGTGATGTTTCGCTTTTGTTTGTTTTTTTATCTATCCTCGGTCGAGATCGCACCATTTTTTTAGAAAGCCGCTTTCCCTAGGAAGGATCCAAGACATTACTAAGAAACTTTTCTCGGAAAAAAAACTAAAAGATAAGGAATTTAAATGTGTAGGTAGGATATTTTTCAAGTTTTATTATTATTATTATTATTATTATTATTATTAATATTATATGAATATGAGCTATTGGGGCATTAAAACGTCAAACAAGGGAACCTGATAACTAGCACTGTATTGACTACATCCTTTGCACGAGATAAAATTGTGTAAAGACCAAGAACCATATTTGATCTTAATTTCGATTGATTTACCCTTTTCAATAAAGAATTTTAAAACAATTAACAACAACGCAGTAGTTAGCATTATCAGTCCAGGGACCATTGTCCGATCCCAGACTGTATGGACTTAGTACTGCTTTTTCATGTTCATGTGGTTTTCAACACATGCCCAAATTTTTCCCACCTCCCAGATACTTGTTGGGTGTGATTTTCTATTCCCTCACTGGGATTTATAGGGAGTTTATTCCACTACATCCTGGTCCTGGATGTTCACACAATTGCTGTTAGCATCGTGGTTCTTGTTGACAAGCAATAGTTGAATCCTAATGTGACTTAATAATGGGATTAAGTTGTACTGTTTGCCTGTTTTGAGATCTTAAACAGGTCTATAATTTAAAATCCCAAACTTTTCTGTAGAAAAAAGCTTGCAAATATTCCAAACAAGAACCTTCTTACTTCAATTAAGGTTTCAGTTAGGTAAGTAAGCTCAGCTAGAATGAAAGTCAAGAGCTGTTTGGGCTCCCAGAACCAGGACTGGGAGGCCCTGGAGTACTACAACAGCCTGGATCATCTCCTCTCGATTCTGGCCTTTCAGATGATCTCAAGGAAAGATGACGGAGCACACCCATCATTAATGACAGAAAACATTCTAGTATTTGCTTCATTTGATTGTATTGCAATTGTGCGGGCAATTATAGTGAAGCTGTTACTGTGAATAAAGCTCTTACTGCATATTCAAAATAGTAATTTGCCTCAGATTGTTACCTTCAAAGGACAAATCTTGTGCTTCCTACAATTGCTTATTATAAACTAATCTTATTTTTTTAATACTTACACTTACTGGAAACTTAATCAGTGGACTTTTTTAATGATTCTGTATTTTAGATTTTAAAAGTATATGAAGTATTTATTCTCATTCTACTTAAGATGTACCTGTGTTGAAGATGTTGCTTCTCAGCAACCCTGATTTTGATTTAAATATGGCTTTAGGTTCTTGACTTTGCTAAATGTAATACATTTTTCATTTTTGTAAGTAATCATAACTTTTGAAAGAGAAAGAAAAACAAAGCAGACATAAAAGGTTAGATTTTTATTGTTTGATAGCTGACTGGCAGTACATTGTGCATTGAAAAATATTGCACTAAAGAAACATTTTTATGTAACTCTGTTTGGTTTAAGTCAGTATCTTGGAATATGTGGATAGAGAATTGTTAGTAATTTTAAGAAAAGTGGGTTTCCCCTTTTCAGATTTTTAATATACACTAGAATAATCTTTGGTTTGATCCTTATAAAAAGGAAAACAGATGTTAACTTTATATTACTATCTCAACAATTATAATAAAGATTATTGCTTTAAGAATGATCAAAAATCCAGCAAATATTTGTTGTAACACAAGCAGCTATTAATTTCTAAAAAAGGACATTAGTATATTGCAATGCAAGGGTACAGTGTGTAGGTCAAGTTTTTAAAAATAGTAGCCTGTAAACAATAAAGATTTTTTTATGCTGTAATGTGTATTTTTAGTAATACAAACTTTTCCACACAGTCAAATGTGTGGTTATCCTGAATGAAATTAATGTGCAAATTGTAAACAGTATTAAATCCTGTGCAATCAACTGTAAAATACCTAATACAAAACTGTAGAATACCAATGGAGGGGACAGTGTCTCAGACCATAGGTAACAACAATCTGATATTTTAAGTCATACTGTTAACTTCTCGCTGTTTAAAACTATAAGTCTTTGTCAGATAACTAGCAATTCCTCTTAACATCTCATGTGCAAGAGTCGTCTGTGACACAGCAAGAATTGTTTTCATTGGATACAAACAAGGATGTTGCTAAATTCTTTTCAAGATCTTCTATATCTCTTGTTATCTCTTGCCTTGGGTTTTTGAAGTCATTTTCACAGGTACTCAGTTTGTCAACCGCTCCTGGGATTAATTCACTCTCAGTCTTATTAGCACCTGCCTCTTCAAATTCTTGAGTTCCATTTACTGGTTGTGGTAAATCAGTGCTGCAAGACTGTTCTTCACATTCTAACGGTGTGCAGGTAGAACAGTCTTCCCCACAGTCTTCCTTTGATAAATCTACAACTAATGTATGATTTTCACTTTTTTTCATATTGGTTGTGTCTTGTTCATTGGACTGCACATGTTTGGAAAACAAAACATTACGGCTCTTGGTCTTGCCCACAATGACCCCTACGGAATCAGATGTATAACCAAGGTCATGCCTCAGCACATCCAGAAGATGGCGCATTTTATCCTAAAGAAATTTAAAAAAAGACATGAGTATGGTTTGCTTCAGTACAGTTTAAACAGAAATCTTGATGTATATAGGTCCTCTTTATATACATACATAAGTATATAGAGTTTATGTAATGACCACATGTGGTCAGGATTTCAGTTTAATTCCAAGAATGGCCCATCCTACATCAGTATCTCCTATTGCCATAATAAAGTACTGGCTATAAAATTCTGGTCTACAGAGATAAATACTACCTACTGATTCATCAACATCATTTACAGCAGCAACCTGATATTACTTAAAACTTTCCTGAGCCCATGGCTGATGAGGCCCAGCCCTACTTACTGCTTCTAAGATTTTAATACACTTTGCATTCATTTCAGAGTTGGTGCACATGTGGGCTAATAGGTACTTTATTACTGTGGAAACAGCATAACGTTTCGCATTAAACTTTCATGAACCCTATTGCAATTGTTGCCATACACAAATCTTGTCATTTTCAGTGACGTTTCAAAGTGTGAACAAGGAATATAGACCACCCTTTTAGACACACCAAATTTCAGCACATGTATTCCATTGTGAATTCCATTGTGAGAACAACAGCAGGAGAATCAGTATTTTCTAAACTGCATCATTTATTCATGCTATTACAGTATAATGTTCAAGCTTTAGATTTCTAAGCAACATTTCCACCTTCAATTAAAAAAGAGACCCTGAAGGGTGCATGACACTGTGCTGTAAAAGGTGTTGTTCTTTCAATGCTATGCTAAACCAAATTACTTGGTCATTAGCATTAAGTTTGTAAGAGCAGTGGTGTAAACACTGATGACCTGAATAACTGTCACTCTGGACCCACACAGACTGCAGGGTGAGCACCCCCTACTGGCCCCAGTAACACCACTTCCAGCAACAACTTTCATTTTTTCCCAGGAGGTCTCTCATCCAGGTACTGACCAGGCTCACACCTGCTTAACTTCAGTGGTTACCAGTTGTGAGCTATAGGATGATATGGCTGCTGGCTACTATCTATATGATATTGTAATATACAGTATAACATTACAGTATTATTGTCTATATATATATATTAATGTATAAATACATTATATGAATATATATGAATGATATATTATATATTAATTAATATATACTTATATTGCAAAACTATGCATGAAAAAATGGAGGGAGAAAAGTAAAAGCACTTGACATAATTGAGAATCAGAGAAAACAAATACTGGTAGCCTAATGTTTACAAATACACTGACAAATAGTAAGAGAGACCAAAGCGTCATGTATCATTACCACTGTCAGAAAAAAAATGACTGCATTACAGCAAGGATTTTATTTCATTTATATTATACTTACGTTATCCAATCGATGTTTGTTCATTTCAAAGTGACGCTCAAAAACACGCTCTAAAACCCTTAAGTAATAAAGAATTAACAGAAAATAGATTACAAGAACAAAAATAGAAAGTTATTCAAATTAGCATGTATCTGGATATCCAAGTATAGTCTTTCAAATGTTCAAATTTAAGTTACCAGTCCTGAAACTATTTTGTACTGGAAAACTAACCATGGCAGACTATATTATGCATTTAGCCTTACTTTCCATCCCAAATACAAATATTTTTTTGAAAGAGAGAATTATTTTAAAAGGCAAAATGCAATTACAAAATATTTTTCTATTCGGTTTTGTTATATATATAGAATCAATGACTAAAGATGCAAAATACCTATTTGAATACAATCCCATTGTCAAGATTTCATTTGTTACATCTGCAATAAATTCAAGGTACCTCAGCTCTTCTTCCCTGAAAAAAAAAACAATATACTAGCTTCTTTTTTGGTTAAATGTTTTTTTTCAAATATAAAAAAATAATCAATACAATTTGAAGGAATTATCTAATATATATGTAACTACTGATGTCATTTTTTGTACAGGTAATTAGAAGCTGCCCTAGAACACATTATTAAGACATCTGTTTATTACACAACACCATTTAATAAAAACAACTTTTAAGCTAATCATAGACATACCTGTACTAAGAAAATGTATTTCATTGGAGAAAAATATGCACTCTACTCCAGATAGGAGGGGCAGTTAATCTTGCTGCACACATAGGTGTATCAGCCCAATTCAAACAGCTTAGATACTGCAAATAACAGTGAACTACTGTAGGAAAAATAAATGATGGAGTGAAAAATGTCTAAAACAATTTTATAATATTGCACACAAAATACTGAATAAAACTGTATAAAATACTGTATAAATACTGTATAAAAACATTTTTTAGATGCTCTTTACAATAAAATGTAAAACAGAAAATCAGAATGCATTTATTCTTACTCAGCAGTGACCTTTCTCATGGTTGGGGATTTCATCCTTTCTGGAGGAATCCTGAAATGAAATGCAGTCTCAAATGTATCCTTAAAATCCCTCTTAAAATATAGAACTATGTACTATGATCATAATATATGTTACAGTATATATAATCATGGATATTGTATGTGATTATATATTAAATGAATATATTATATAATTTTGAAGAAGAAAATAAACCTTGTTTAGATTATTTTCTAGATACTTTTTAATGTCACAGTATTCAAAGCATGTTCATAAAATTTTCCCGATTTTTAGCTAGCTAAACTACTGACTTCCCAATATTTATTTTTGACAATATTCAAATGTTTGCATAGCTTTTATGGCTAGGAACTGATTAATAAGACAACATTCCCTATAGTTTTAACAACACATGTTAACACACTCTATACCAATACCTCTTTGCCCGTTAAATTCAAAACATACCTTGATAAAGAATATAACTGATCAGTATTGCCCATTCCAGTATTTTGTATTTTGCTGAGATTTTCATAAGACAAGTGGTCTTCAATAAGATGCTCTTCAAATGACCATTCATGATCAGTAAAGGAATCCTGTGTAATTTAAAATGACATTTGTAGTTTCTGAAAGTTGGGCATCCTAAAGTATAAAAGTGTTACAACAGCTTAGATAATGATCTATTTTCAAAGTCACCAGTATTACTTGCATAGTTAGTTATTAGATTTGCATAGTTGCATGCAAGCACAATATGGGTGCTATAGGCCCTACACAATCTTATACATAATTTGACTTTTCCCTAGTTAAATATGTCGGAACTGCTCAAATCATCAGTAGATGTCCTCCCTTTAATGTAATGATCAATTTAAGATTACTGAAAGAGCATGATGCTTTTATTTTCTTTTAATGGTAATATTGTGTGAAAACCCCAGTGACAGTAAAAGTCTTGAGATCCTTAGCTTCTGAATTATTGTGTGTTTATGTTCCCTGGCTTCATCCTTCTGCTATATTATTGTTTTCATTGTTATTTTGTATGGTATGCACATCTGTTAATGAGATTTTTTTTCTTTTTTCGGGTGAGCTTGCCTAAGTTTTGCAACTTTAAAATACAAAAAAATCCACAATTTCTTCAAGCTTTTGGTTCATGACCTATGTGCCTATCTCCCATCAGAAGTTTCTGCTAGTAGGACCCGTTAGGGCTTAATCATAATACTCTCCTGAAAAAAAGATCATGATAAAATTAAAGAAATAGCCTAAAAAGCGGAGAATGGAGACTGAGCTGCAATCCATCTGTCATTCATGTCTCTAGTTTTGTCTACTGTCAGCTGTACCAGATGTGACCATGCCTGTGGGTCACACAAGACAAGCCAGTTGTAACAGTTTCAGTTTTGTGCAGATTCAGGAGAAGTTGAAATGCTAAACATCAATAACACTTGACTGAAAAGGATGCTCTGAAACCCTTGATATTATTTTTCTAGAGGTTTTTTATAGAAACACAGAAGAGATGTTTGTCTGTTCAAAGTGTGGGGTTATACCTCCAACACATCAACATAATTTCCATGTAACTTCTCACAGAGATTCTATATTTAATTAAAGTCAGCAAATTATGTGTTCAATCCAACAGACTATATCATATCCAATTAATAGAAGTTTTAAAATAAAACATTTCACTCAGTGAAGTAATATAAGTAATGCAAGGCTGTACAAAGGACTGATTAAAGGAAATAAAAGTTCAATGCATTTTTTAAAATTATTATTATTTTAATAAAGATTAATAAAGCAATCAATGTGGCCTATTTTCTGCAAATAGGAGTTCCTAAATCTATATAGGAACAGTATGATTATTGTCAGAAGCTGCAGTTTGCCATGATCCTATTTCACCGTTTGTAGAATAAATCCTGTACTGTGGCAGACATCCAAGAGGAACACATACTTCCTGCAATGCAAGGTATGTAAAACCTTGAGTGCTTATAGCCTCTAGATGATGTAGCATGTAAATGTTACAACTGGATTTTTTTTACACCTGATTTTTTTAAAATAAAAGTACAAATTAAAACTTAGGAAACTATCTGCAAATATAAGAAAACATAGTTAAACAAATCAATTATAAATAATTGGAGAAGAATACACAGCTTACCTGGGGTAAAATCGATTTTTCTTGAGGTGAGCCCACATTATCAGAAAAACTAGACATATAAGAAAAACAATCAGATGTTAGAAATAAAACCCATTGGCATATGCACAAATGTGAAACACCTTATTTTTTAAATAAGCATAATTCTTGTGCTAGGACAATATTTTACAGTACAATTAATTACATATACAGTAATTTACAGTATATTCATATTAAATACATATTAGAGAGAAACCAAATATATTGTACTTAATTTTGTACTTTAGGAAATATTATTTTTCCATTAAATCATTTTGCAAGTGTATGACAAAATGAACACATTTTTTTTGTAAAATATATTTTCATGGACTTACCTATTATTATCCGTTTGCGTGTCCTGATTTACCATTAAAGGAGTTCTGTGTTTTGCAGGTTTTCTCCTAGGAGGAGTGTAATACCTGTACTGTGAAAGAGAAGACTTAGTCTCTTTTTTCAGTGTCTTTGGAGTGAAGGGTTTGTCTTCAGTAAAGCAATGAGAATGTTTTTGTAAAAGGTCACCACTATATGTCTTTTGATTTGGATCATGAAAAGAATTGTATGAAATCTTAGATTTGAAAATGCCACTGGAAGAAGTATAAGATTGTGTTGAATGTTCTCTTCTAGTAAAGGGACTTCTAAAACCTGATTCTGAAGAAGAGCGGTAAAAAGGCTTTGTAGCCTTTTGCCCGCTCCTGCTAGATTGACACAAAAATTGTGATGAATGGCATGATGCTGCAAATCTGGGTGATGAAATCAGGTGACTTTCCAGGTAATGAAAACAATCCCCCTCATCATTGCCTTGCAAGGATGCACAGCTCTACAAAGAGAGAAAACAAATAATAAAATTGTTAAACTTATAAAGCTTTAATGAATAACATCTGATGCTTTCATCATACTGACAAATAAACGGTATTTAAGCACTGCTTAGATGTGCCACATTTGAGATATTCTTCAAATATGAATGTGTATTAGCGCTTAAAACTTCATTCTCCTAAAACAGGTGAACAGAATTATTAGAATTTAAAATGTTTTTTGTTGTTGTTGAATGAACTATTTGCAAATTAGAATACTATTAAAGAATAGGAACACGCTTCATAAAAAAGAAAAAACCTGATCTAGTTAATCTCTGATGATTATTTTTTACCTACAGCCATGAGGAAAGAACATGTTGAACATATTACAGCAGTGTGCTAGATATTAGGCATTAGCAATTTAATACAGCAAATGTCAGAGCCGAATGATGGTTCACATACCTGAGAAGCTTGGGTTTAAACATTTTGGCGCAACACAGAATCAAACGTTAATTCTACACCCTTATATTCAATTTTAAACTTCAGTCATGTAAACATCCCGTTAAAGCATTTGTCATCTGACAATGTACCTTGACAATTTTTAATTTTAGAGGTGATTGGTTACTCTGCTCTTTTTTTATACAACAGCTTGAAATGGACAATGATGAGTGCTTTCTTATCCTTTAATCCAGAACATCTACAAGAAAAAATGTTTCTATAGATCTTGCCAAACAAACATGTCACAAGACAGAGTGAGACAAGAAGGTTTAAAAGAATAATTAGGGTTATTAGAAAAACGACCCTAAATTGACACCCGAGGAAGGCTCCACAGCCGAAACGTTGCATTTTCTTTCTTCTCTTTTCAGCATGGAAAAAACCTTTAACTTGTTCCTTCGCAGCCTACACAAGCTCACACAGCTACCCACCTGAACTAATTAGAATTACTAATTTGAATAAAATAATTGTAAAAAGAATCATACCTGAACAATATCAGCAGAGGAAGGCCTGGTGTTATTTGTAGAGGTCTTCTGTAATCCTGTCTGGGCTGAAATTACCTTGGTCTCACATTGGCTAACCTTCTTCTTCAAGCGTTCCCTTCGCTGTTGGTCACTATCTGCAGTCATACAAGATTATGCCATATTACATAACAGCAGAAGTCATAGGAATGCTGTAAAAATCAAGGTACTTTTATTCTTCCAATCATTTTGTAAACTACACTGACAAAAACAGTAATGCAAATATAAAAATATTCAAATTCATATGTTAGCATGCCTAGAGGGGTTGGGCAGCCAGTTGACCTTGGACCCCTAGAAGTTTTTTTTCTCCTTACAGAGGAGTTTTTGGTTCCTCTCCTCCATTGTTGTCATGCCCTCTGCAGCCAGGGGGCGCTCCTTCTCTGTCCTGTCCCTAGTTTCCGGTCTGCTGTCCTTCCTGTCCCTCTCTTTCCCTTGGGCTATATATTTCCGGGTCTTGCACTCTGTCCTCGCTCAGCATTGACGTTTGGATGTCCTGAGACCCGCCTAGCACCAGGGCGCCCCACGTCCGCTCCCTGAGGGCATAGGTTTCTATACGGCATTCCTGACTCTTTGCACTAATGAGCCCAGGCCTTTTTCCCGTCTCGCCGCCACGCATATGGGTCTTTTTCCGCTCTCCTGCTCCCCACGGTTAGTCCCTTTGGACGTCCGTGACAATTGTCTTCTGGCTTTTTCTCTTTCTGGATTGTAATGTCATGTACTGTCACACAGCACTGTTAGGTGCTTTGTAGTGAAAGGTGCTATGTAAAAATAAATTGAATATTCCCTCAATTAATCAATGTTTTTGTTTATATATAACATTAACAAAACATTTTATAAATTGTATAAACAAAAATATTAAATTAAAAAATAGTTAATGCCATGAAACCCAGCAAAAATTTAGCAATGGTAATGGATAAGGATTTGATGTCTAGTTATACAATACCTATGATAAGCATTATTTTTGGAAAAACATTAAGTAAAAAAAAGTTGTTATTTTCATAAAATTATATTCAATATAACTAAATGATTAAAACAGACAACAGTTAGAGTCTCTTTCTAAAAACTATGCAGCAAACCGCGATTTAACTATTTAAAGTTCAATATTTGCTCATTTAAAATATTAATCCCATACATACATTTAACACTGCTTAGCAAGCTTTTTGGTGCTGTTGAGTCCACTGCAGCTGAAAAAAGTGCATAGAAACAGCAAAATAATTTAGAGCTACATACTGTATAACATATCAAACAAGCTTAAGACAAATAAATGTATAACACTTAGGATTTATTTGATTGGGCTATCAGTTCAAAATGTTTACAATACATTGATATAAAAATGGATACATCTAAAAAATTAAAAGCTTTTTTGTAATTTAAAAGAACCTGATTAAAACTAAAGATCCTGAAACGTCTCAGCAATATATCCTATACCTCACTGTTTAACCTATGTATTAACTACAAAATAAAGACTAAGACTAATACATTCCAAAATGCTATCGAAACTGAGATTTTAGAAAAGTTTAGAAATTAATAGCTATAACTGAACATTCTAACCAATATCATTTCAAATCCAAGAAACAAACATGAAATCTTGTACTACATTCAGATCTTATATTTAATTTTACTGATATTTTTCTGAGCTGCGTTTCTGCATTAATTTCATTTGACATGATCTTACCTTTGGCTGAGAGTACTTTTTTGTAGTGGAACATCATATGATCCTGAATCATGTATTGGTTAGTAAGTTTGTTTGAAGATCCAGGGCAGTAGGCTAGAAGGCATACAGATTTGGGTATCAAAAACTCATCAAAAGAAAGAACAGAAATAATGTCTAATATAATATAATATAAATAATGTCTAATATTCTGGTGATCTTGTACAAAAAATGTACTAGCTACTTTAAATAAACCTGTACAAATATTATCAAAATTATAATTTCCTAGGATAATTGTAATAAAAGATGTTCAAGACACACAGAGCAATAAACACCATAAGCTCAAGTATACCATAGTATGAAAATAGTATTTAAAACTGACCCCGTGTTAAAATGTGCTTCTTTATTTTTCTTCTACAAAAAGAAGGAAAGGTGAATAAATATTATAGGTGAATAAAGCCTTATTCACCTATAAGGCTTTACATGGCTTGGCACCTCAATACCTGTCTGAACTTTTATCGCCCTACTCCCCACCCCGCAACCTCCGCTCTTCAAATTCTGCCCTCCTTACTGTCCCCCAAGCCCGTCTACATTGTATGGGTGACAGGGCCTGGAACTCTTTGCCCAAGGATATCAGAGAGTCACCTTCTCTAAACTCCTTCAAATCTAGATTCAAAACCTTCTTCTTCAGAAAAGCCTTTACTGAACTGGTTCCATTCTTCACCCCTCTGCTCTTCTTAATACCACCTTCCACGGTCTCCTCTATTGTTATTGTTGTATTGTTGTAATTATAATTGTGTCCTATCTTGTGAAATCTTCTTAATAATTGTTGTAGTCTTCTTATTTATTGTTATTGTCATCCTGTAAAGGGCTTTGAGAAGCCACCTTTAAAGGCGCTATATAAAATAAAGTGTATTATTATTATTATTATTATTATTATTAAGACTAAATTGTAAAACGTGCACATAAATCTTCCCATTACAGAATCACAGAATAAAACAGAATCGCCCTCCTCTCGAACCTGCTGACTTACGGCTGCTTTTTATACTCATGTGTCCCTTAAAAGGTCCTGCGAGAGAATACCGTGGGACTGGTGTCACATTTACTGAAACACAAACAACATACACATAATAAGTTGTCTTATACAATATCGCTGAATGTGAACAACATACATTTGGATTTATAAAAGAACATGCTGATCAGAGAAGACCAGAGAAATGAGTAGGCCTGCTGTAATTCATTCCAAAGTAACGTAAGAACTGAGTTCGACAGAATGCATTTACGAATAACTAATATTATGTACGTTCTAGTGCACTTCATACAGTAACCTAAAATTGAAGCAACCTAAATATCTCGTGTGTTTTTTTCTTGAATTAGTTTTTCCTGTACCGCTGGGATTAGACATGATCTGTGAAGTACAAGATGTATCGCATTACAGTGCAACGTTTCGATTGTGATTCATGTATGCGACTCGGTACAGTCTTAAAAGATGCTGTTGAAATTGTAGTAACACACCTTTCCTCGTCTCCATGGTGCAGTGGATATATCCCATGCTTTTCTTGTTATCTTCGTTACGAACCACTTATTTGTCTGTTACGGTTTTCTGTCTACGGTTATGTGCCATTTCTGATCTTTCCTGACAAACTAAAGCTTCCTCGTCTCCACGCAGGTTGCTACGCGGACGTCACTACGTTCCACACCAAACGCGGCTGGTGCGTAAAGAGGGCAGCTTGTTCTCTGAATGCAGAACACGCGTTCTCTCCTGCACTGTGGAGGCTACGTGCCCATATGGGTTTCTGCAGTCGAGGGAGGAGTTTACGCGGAAAAGCCCTAGGCATCCCTTTCGCTACATCGAAAAGACCCTGCACCAGTCTTCTGTTTTCTTTCGGTATTGGTTTACCGAATCATCTTAATGGTTGTAGTCATGTATAACAGTAAATATGTTAGGGTTAGTATGAAACTAAAAATAAGACAAAAAAAACTCTAAATGTGAATTTTGAATACTAATTAATACATTGCTTCATTTTATCGCTTTCCAGAAAGCACATCATGGTTTGGAGTACATGCACATTTTAATATCAATCAAAATCAAAATCAAAATCAAATCAAATCAAAGTTTATTTATCAAATGCACAACAATACAGCATGCAGCAGTAGTTGCTGGCAATGAAATGTCTTTTCTACGAGCTCACCGATGTATCAATACAACCATGTGCACAAAATCCCGGTCACGCATTTATTTTTAAAGGGACATGTTTAGTTATTAGATTTAGTCGTTTTAATATTTAATTAATAAGTCTATTATGAGATTTTAACTTTTTATCCCTAAATTTTTACTTAAGACCCTTCTCGTCACTTACGTGTACAAAATGTTTGCGAGTTTGAACAAAAATGACCTGTCCGCGGTCCTGAAAGGAGTTTATCTTTCCAAGTCTCATACGTACACAGAACCACATTCAATGCACAGAATAATCGGCTACATTGTATAAATTCTAAAACCTGAAGAAGATGTGTTCGTCTGGTCATTTCAATATCGCTTGAATATCGAACGTTGTTTATGCTGCCACGTCATCTGTTCAACTTATTAAAATTCAGCCCATGTTTGAGTGTTTCAGCGCACTGACTTCCCTGCCCAGTACACCTCCTGACTGCAGTAGAATAAAAGTGACAGAAAGCTCTACACAATACAGGCTCAAACGCTTCTCATGTGTAAAACCATACATAAAACGAAGACTGCTTCTTTACTTAATTTGAAAGAAACAATTATGGAAAAATAAAATGCATTTTTAGTATTTAGTGGCAAAGACAAACGTAAATATTAAATTATAGAAACGTATCTTCGTAGTGTTGGGCAAAACTTGAATTTCATACAAATTCTTTAGAATTTCATTCGCAACCTTTACAACATTTCCTGCTTTGTATAATCTTTGTATAATTAAACATGCGACTGTTTAATTAACCATACCAAAATTTAGACCTTTAGACTAGATTACAGTACATTACTGTACATTGTTTGAGTATTAAGCCCTTGGCGTATGACTATTTAAAGTATGTTTATATTTTGGAAAAATCCATCCATCCATCCATTGTCTAACCATTTTATCCAAAACAGGGTCACAGGGGAACCAGAGCCTATCCCATCAAACGGGCACAAGACAGGATACACCCTGGATGAGATGCCTGTCTATCGCAGGGCAGACACAGACACAAACACAGCGATACACACACTGACACTAGGGCCACTTTTCCTAGATGCCAATTAACCTACCAGCACGTCTTTGGACTGTGGGAGGAAACCAGAGCACCTGGAGGAAACCCACACAAATACAGAAAAACATATATCCTCCGTGCATACAGCACCCCAGGAACTGAGTCCCATTAGACCCCAGTGCTGTGAGGCGGCAAGGCTCATCACTGCACCACCTTTCATTCACTATCTTGTTTTTAAAATAATTTTAGATGATGGTATGAGTGCTTCTGTATGAATTGTCTATCCATGCTATAATGAGTCATCAACTTTATAATTGGTCCATGAAGCATAAGCTATTTTATACATAATTAGTATAAGGGGATAGAATTCGCTTTTATGTGTTTATCCAATAACTTGGCGACTTACAACAAATCTTAATTTAAAAAAGGGAAATTTCTAAACATAGCAAATATTTAGTATTTTGTGATAAATTTAAATCATAAAGAATGTAATAATCTAGTCAAAATTTATCATGTTCTGGAAACCGGCCAAAATCAGGTGCTGTATTTATTACAGATCTTATAGATACTTACACATCTTTTACAGGTGTAAAACCTTGAATAGTATTGTGGGATCTACTTCTAACATCCATAATTTCAAAAATGTGTCCTTTGTTTTGTATCCGGTTTCTTTTCCTATTCACTTTGTCAGATTTCAAATTTAAATTACTCAATCTATTGAAACAAAACACTACAAAAGTAAATCTAATAGGTAATAATGATTATTACACCAGGGAACAGATTCACAAATACACATTATTGTATTCTACAGACTTGTAACTAATGCCAAAGTTTAAAAAAAAGATAACCTGATTCCTAGATTAGGTGTTTTTAATCCTCAAAGATTATAAAGTGATTTTCCTAAAGTCATGAGTCTGGTTTAGGCTTTTGAAATTTTTAATGATTAGATCTTAGTAAAAGTGAAGGAAACAAGAAATTCATTCATTTGTTTGTATTTTGTAGATGGGTTTGGTTAAACCACTTAAGATTGAAGATGATACTTTGCCTTCCTACAGAAATGAGCTGGATGTGATCCTTGAATCAATAAGCTTCTCACTACCAAATGACCCAAATGGGCCAAATGGCTCCTCTCGGTTGTACCCTTCTCATCCTCTTAAGATTTTCTATTTTTAGATAAATGTACAACATGCTCCCTAACCTTCCTGTGAACAGAGAATCCAAACCCATGTTGGATTTTTGATGTCATAAAGAAAAAGGTGTTTATTTAAGCGCTTAAACATATGCCCACATTATAGGAAGCATAATTAAAAAATCAGTTTATTTAAAAGAAAGTTGTCATTTCAGTGTCCAAAGAAATACTACATAGTATTCCATAAACACATGTATAAGACATGCATAGGAACTAGTAAAAGTTTATTCCATGTTTATTCCAAGAGACACTGTGTTTCGTGTGACACATGAAGACAACAGATCACACTCAAAGAAGGCCCCACAGCCGAAACGTTGCATCTCTTTTCTTTTCAGATGGAATAAACCTTTACTTGTTCCTTTGTCTATGCATGCTGATGCAGTTACCTACATGAATATTTGTTTTTGATGTCACTTTATTCTTTGAAATAGCATCAAAAGCTTTTCCAGAAATTAATCATGAATATTTATCCTATATAGAAATTATACATCTTTTTCTTTTAATAAAGTGGGAAATTGAGTTAGATTTGGAAAACCATGCAATGTAAATCAGTTCAGTGATTTATGACTCGATGTTAAATGAATAACCTCAATACATTTGCAAAATCTCTTGAAAAAGATCAGTTCATGTTTTCTTTTCAATGCATTCACCAGATTCAATAAACTACCATTCTATCATTTTCTGGTCATCACATTCAATGTAGGCTGCTTGAATTAGCCCCTCAAAGGCAGGACATTTACAGAGCTGTAAGTGTGAGGTTTGTGGTCTGTACAGGGAAATGACAGAAAAAATGTACAACCTAAAAAAAGGAGGTATATGACGATATTTTTACTAGGTAACGTGATTGTAAAGAATGAAATAGAGATCTGCATGGTTCTGTAGTGTAAGCAAAATATCACATCCCTGTGAAGTGCCGTTAGTTGGTAACTGAAGGAATTGCAAATGAGGATCTGTGCCGCAGGGAGTTTCAGGATTGCCGTGTGCTGCAGCTGCTGGTCACTGGAGCGTGTTTCCTGACTTCAGCCCCACCTAGCAACGAGGTGCTGGAAACAACATCCCTCACCCCACTACACAGACAAAGGTGTTGGTCTGGACAAACTGAATGTGTCGAATATAATGAGGAATATATATATACGGATCTAGATTTTAAAGCATATTTTACAAAAACAAAACGAAATTCCATTGACGTATAAAAAAATAAAATTGCTCTTGTTTAGAATCCTGAAGGATTGGTTCTTATCTTCGATTTTTAATTTAGTGTTTGTTCTACAACACTATGAAATACTTAATCTAAACCAACACAAAAAAGTCAGGGGAATAAAAAAAACTGCTGCTGCATTGGAGACAGCTGTGTAATGATAGGATCTGTAGATGAGTAGCTCAGAGCTGTAATGCGGCGGCCAGAGCGGTGTAGTGATGCCTTCATAGATGGTTTCCTATTGGCGTGAAGTTAAACATTGCTGCTATTCTTTGTAACGATTTTTGTTCCTGTACCTTTCTTGTTTACTGTTAAAGGAAAGAAACGACGTGGGAAATATGGTGCAGTGCACAGAAGCAGTTGTGCATGGGTGCTCTTAACGCATCCCCGGAGCGAAGAGCGCTCATTGCGATCGCTTCGCCCGAGGGTTCAGCACACTCTTTCGACCACTGGGAGCAAGGAAACTACGAATGATGCTTTATAGACGTTTCCCTTCATTTCGTTTTCCGATGTGCAAAATAGAAGGTCTGGTAAAAGGGCGCAGCCTCAGTATTCTTAGAAATTAATTTCTGGAAGAAACAGTGGCAAGAGATTTTCTTTTTTGAATTTTAAGCGAAACATCAAGATGAAATTTCCCATTGAAAATCCAAGAAAGCAAGTGAACTGGGATCCTCAACAAGGTTGGTTCATGAATATTTTTTCACATTAACATTATTATGACATTTATTCTAAGCTGCGTGGTGTTTTCTGTTTTTTATCCATTTGTTTTTGTTTGCGTATTTGTCGTTTATTGTATTGCGGACATGAAAATGCAAATTGGATACCCTTATACACAACAGACAAAATTATAATTCAATAATTAAAGCAAAATTAATTCATTTAATTCATTACATTTTGAAATTCAATTAGGATATTTTGGGTATCTAATACTGAGCTGAGCTCTGCATGATGCCTTCTAATATCCTTTGAATGAAAATGAGGTATGTCTAACCATGATACTATGTGGTATTATTGTCTCTTCGTAAATTTTTTTACAACTGTCCAGTTAAACAAAGCCGTCCTAAAACCCTTTAAAGTCCTGACTTGAAGTGGGTGTATTCCGTGGGCTCAGATGTCTGTGTGCTTCAATGGTCTCAGGGGGGATATCTGGGAGTAGACTGCCGGGGAAAGGAAGGACAAACACGGCGACACGAGCGTGTGCAGATAAAGAACTGAGATGAGACCGACTAGCCGGGTAGATTTACAATTAAATTGGGTTTATTGTATTTGCATGCGTATAAAATCCTTCCCAAACACAGCTCGGGAGGGTTAATTTCGTAGTCGTGGTATCAGTTCTTGTCTATACGCATGTAACAGGTTAAATTTAATTTCGACTGTTGCTAATAAACATATAATTGCTACAATACATACAATACAATGTACAGTATACAATACATTGGTAATCGTTAAATAATTCCTAGAATCCATTTTGTGAGATAATGCAAAGCGATTTCAAATTCACAAAAAATATATCTAAACATGTTAAATGTAATGATTGAGTGGTATTTCCTAGTGCACTCATAAAAAATAATGCCCAGATGTAAGCTATTTTACAATTATTTTAGTGGAGTTAGAACTCATTTTCATTTTTCCAGCTGTAACCAAATGTTTTACACTTTAACAATGATTAGTAGCTTATGTTGATCGAGGAAAGCCGGGAATTACATAACTTGATCTCTTTGTAGCCTGAGCACAGGGCAGACCTGGCCATGTAAAGAACATTTTTTCACTCATAGATACAAAACAATGTGGGTGCCATATCAGCCAACTACTCACGTAATTCTTCAGTAAAATTAAGTTATTATTTTCCTTCTTATAGGTTTTTACACAGTCAGTGAACAGAACTTTTGCTACTCCTATATTTAATATTTGTAAGTGATGAGTTGAAACACCCCAACATGTTCCTTATCAGTGATGCATAATAACACAGGTACTTGTGAATGAGAATGGAATATGAAATGGAATTGTTGGATATCTTAGAACAAAACACCATTACAGGTTAGGGTGTGTGTTAAAACAGTGTAGTCTTCATTGTTTCATACAGTATCAATTAATTCATATAGGAAGAGACAGTTTCAGTTTAATATTTGTCTTTTAAGAGCAACTAATATGAATTATAGGAATGAATATCAAGTGTCTCTATTTCACAATGCTTCAAAGGTGAACCACCTAAACAGATTTACTGTATATTGATATAAAACCCATACTTATACAATATAGGCTACTATAATATATACAGAATTTTAACTGAACAAAATGTTACTATCTTTTGAATAAAAAAAACAGAAAATCACCTGACCTTACAGGTATATTTTTAACTCCTTGTATTTATTTACTCCATGTTCTTAACATAGGTCAAGCCTTTCCCATTTATTGTCTTTCTGTTAGCATCTTGATGATAGAGCAGTCTTAGGACAAGAGGATTTTAGCAGCATGTTGTGCAGCCATTAATGTTTGTATTATTCTAATATCAAAAACGGACTAATGAGTGTCTAAGTCTAAAGTCTTCTAAAATATTTAAATCATAAAGTAAATGTGATATGTATTAAACATATTAGAATATACATGGATCCATGAGGAATATCGTTGAAATCTGCTATGAACAACAAACTAATAACATTTGTTCAAGCAGGCCTTTAAAAGAAGAAAGGCAGCAAAAAAATAGTGGACATGAAAGAGGCTGGGAAATTTCTTGAATTACCTACGAACAGTATCAAAGTGTAGGCTTGCCTTTTTGTTTGCTTGTTTTTGACTTTTGCAAATAAAAGTAGGTATTGTGCAATACATAATGAGTAACATTCTATGCTGGAGCAGCATGTATTGGCTGCAGAGGAACAAGTACACTGAAGAAGGCTGAACAGATAAAACATTATGTTTCTTCTTTTTAAAATGAACATTTTTTTTAAATGCTTGTATGTTGTCAGATCCTTGGTTTGCCTTTCAGATTCAATGATGCCTTGAACTTTATAAGTAATTACATAGCCCATTAGAAAATAAATGATTCAAAGTAACAATTCTCATTTCATTGTCTGCCCATCCATGTCGGCTGTAAAGCAGTAATTCCATCTCAGAGTAGGAGGAAAATAAGCTATTTTGTGTGTTGCTGCTGGTGTGAATGTCTCAGTAATTGTACAGTATGGTCTCCTTCAGATGTCTTTGGTTGTGAACTCATTCAGCAGTTTCTGACAATTCAATGACCTGTCACCTGACCTTTACCTGATTCTGCTACTTTATTTTGAAGGTACAGGAATACAGCTCTAGGGTCTTATGTTGTTTAAATATGATTATAACACAGCAGAAATACTACCATGAGCAACATTCTATTACTTAATATACAGTATTTATGCTACTTATTCAAATGTACTGTATACTTTATCAACTTTTAAGCTATTAGTACTAATTGCAATTTCCAGTGTTTTTTTGTTTTAATTGCACCTGAGCGCTCAATTATTTTTTACAGTATTTAATTACCTAAGAACTGTAATATCTTATCCAAAATACTTTTATAGCTAGCTGTACTTTTAATGAAGTGTATGGTTTGAGTAAGCAACGGTAAAATATTTAAAAAGAAAAGTTAATTACACATTTAATAAAATTAATTAGACTGATTATATTGCTACCATTATATATTTAAATACTTTCTAAAGTGAAAGAGAGAGTTTCTTTGGGGCTTGGAAGGGCTATAATGCTGTGTGTGGTTTCTGGAGAGTGATGTCACTCGGGGACACCATCAACTTTGCACTTGAATACACCATCTGTTGCTGCTTGATATTTCATTTCACTTAGCATCATAAAACTGTGCTCTGGAATGAATTAAACTTACCAAACAGTACAGGCTTGTATTGCTAATAAGGAAATCAAGTGGTTGGTTTTTATTTAAAGTTTTTTGAAACAGAAAACAGCAGTCATTTAACGATTACTTAAATATGGATGACACATAATTTGTTGTTTTTCTCATACATCTAGGAGTGGTACAAATTTATGGTCTAGAAAAGCCCGAAAAGGCATAATACATTGTTCTCTGTCTTCACTTTTCTGCTTTTAAGTTGTCTTTCTTCTAAAGGCTTTCAATACACTGGGCTTATTTTCTTTAGCAATTCCTTAATTTGCTGTCTTCTACAGCAGTACATACAGTAGTTTACAAAAGTATCTCAAAATCTATTTAAACAATAACTTTATACACAAAGTCTTTCATTTCTTAGATCCACTGTTTGTGCACTTGCTTTTGTTCCATTGAATATGACTTGAACCTTATTAGTCACTCTTTCCATCTGTTCCCATTGATTTTTGTGTCTCCTACAATTTATTAGCAATTTATTTTTTATTATTGATTGCTGCATTTCCCCTGTTTACTAAATCAGAATATGTAGATTTAAAGAATATTTCTTTAATGCTTTCCGATATTATAAATGGGACTTAAAGAAATATGGAAAAGCTCTTAAAGCAAACTGTCAGAAACTAGTATAAAATGAATTGCTTTATTCAGCAATACCTTAACAATTACAAGATTTCAATATTATCATCTTTACTCAGTCACATTGTATTGACATTTTGTGTATGAACTTGTAGTATAGGATCTTAAAACATATTTTGATGTAGACTTGATGACATTTACCATTTGGAATGGTTTTATTTATTATCTATGACTATTTATTTTTTCTGCAGCCGCAGTTCAGTCCAGCTCCTCTGCAAGTGATGTGAAGCCCAACGGTCCCTCTCCTCGTCCACGGCTGTCCATATCATCTAGGGCTACAGTAGTCGCCAGTATTGACAGTAGTACTCCCTACCTCCAGACAGTAATGAAGTGGAAAACAGTGCTGGCCATTTTCGTGGTGGTGGTGGTATACCTGGTAATTGGAGGTCTGGTGTTCAGTGCTCTGGAACAGCCCTTTGAAAGTAGCCAGAAGAATACGATTATACTGGAGAAATCAGAATTCCTCCAAAATCATAGTTGTGTCACACGTGAGCAACTGGACAAGCTTATACAGGTAAAGTAAAAGTTAACAAAGTGCTGTTGTCAATTTTAGCTGTTTAGAAGTGAATGAGTATGAATGCTGTGGTTCTCTTGATTGGTCATGTGGCAGGCTGAGAATGTCCTGCTATCCATATGTCTCATCATGGCAGATGTGTCATCATGGTGTACCAGGACTCATCATGACTTGTAGTCTGGTTCATACATAGCTGAATTGTTGGCTACATTCCTTGTGCAAGAGCGGTCTTTGTTTTCAGATTAAGTTCTTATGTTGGTTTCTTCGAGCTGTTTAACACATATTCATATTTCTCTACTTTTAATACATAATGACCTTCATATAGTTTTAATCTACAGTGACATACTGAACAGCAGTATAATGAAACAATGGATTCCTGTATGAATAAAAAACCACAGCTTTTCCTTGAGATCAGTTTCTCATGTAGTGAGGCTTGAATCTTTGTAAGGTCTGAACGTACTGTACTACAACCTCTGACAGTACATAGTTACATAGTTAGGGGCTATAGGGTTATAGTACATAGTTAGGGGCGGAGCGGTGGCTCTGTGGCTGAGGATCTGCACCTGTGACTGGAAGGTTGACGGTTCAAATCCCGTGGCTGGCAGAGGAATCCTACTCCGTTGGGCCCCTGAGCAAGGCCCTTAACCCCAACTGCTCCAGGGGTGCTGTATAATGGCTGACCATGCGCTCTGACCCCAAGCTTCTCTCCCTGTCTGTGTGTCTGTGCCTCATGGAGAAAAGCTGGGGTATGCGAAAAGATGAATTCCTAATGCAAGAAATTGTATAGGGCTAATAAAGAAACATTACATTAGTTACATACTAGTACAGGTATCACAGCTAAACAATAGAGCAAAGTGTCGGGAGAAGAGGGAGTCGTTGGTGATGTTATAGTGCATTCCACTGTCATTTCTAAAATTGAAACTAAATAAATTAGACTTTCTGAATATTCCATTATTTCCCCTTTTTTAAAATTATGAAATGTTTAGTGATGAATGTTGGCACAGCATTTAAACTGCTACAGTACATTTTTCTGTAACATTTAATAGGAAGTCTATGTACTGTATATGGTTACTGGAAACATAAATAGGTATCATGTGTATTTTATTTAACTGAAGTTTTATTCTTTTTTTGGTGTTTCAAGGAAATAATTCCTCAATATTTGTTATGCATTAGATCAGTCTAGGTTCTGAGTGTACATCTAGGTATCCTTTAATTCATAAATGTCTTTTGATAATTTTGAAATTATTTCCACAATCGTCAATGCCATGGACGCTTTGTTAGTGATTTAAAAAGAAACCTTGTTCTTGATCCTTAGGTGTTCAGATTGGCTGTGCCACTAAAGCAAGAGTATCCTGAAAAACATGCTGCAATGGACAGCACAGCCTTAGTTCGTTAGAGACATAAGCAAATCTGAAACTTTCATAATCACAAGAAAAAATAGTTCACTAAAACGTTTGGACAGTTTTTATGCTGCTGTGTGCACTCTTTCAACAAGCCTTGAAGTTCAGAAACAAGTAGTATGTTTTGTTCACATAATAACACACTATTGGACAAGTTTCATTACCTGTCCATTTTTAAGTTTCCAGCAAATATATTCAGTATAATTATCATTTGATATTTAACATGATTTCTATAGTACAAAATTGAAACTTTAAACTGTACAAAAGTACAGGAATAATTAAGAATAATTAAGGAATAATAAAGAAATTAAAAAAATAACATTTGAATAATCCCTTTTAGTGTAAGATTTATGAAAATGTAGCAGTTTAGTATTTTTCTCAGTTCTGACAGGCTAAATTCACATTAGAGAAATTAGGTTATTGCAAATGTGAAAGAATAATGTTGATTATTATTCTATTTCTGTGTAACTGAACATGAGACAGGGGCACTGCTGCTTTAAGCGGGCTGGCATTCTGTGTGTTACCATCTGCTATCAGCTTATCAGCGTGTGGAGCTAGATGGGTAACAGACTGGCAATCCAAAAACACGATGTTATGTGAACTGAGGAATCTGCCGCACATTGAGCTGGTTTTCTGCTGCAGTACGTATGTACAGTATGATCCCAGACATTAGTGATGAAACAAGCTAGACTTGGTAAACAGTTATGCTGTTTTATTCAACCTTCCTAGTGAAGCATCAAGGCTGTTTTATGTTCTTTCCTACAATTTTTTTAGGGAACAAAACAAAAGATTAATGTTTTCTTGTTTTACATAACATACTGTATTTACAAATACCAAGGATAAATTGGTATTACATTTTCTTTATATTTGAGCTGGAAAAGCTAAAATTCATAAGCTAGTTTAACACTAAATTATATCATTTGAACATTGACATATTTATTGTGATGAACTCAATTTTATGATCATGCTAAATATTTATCTTTTCTTAAATGGTGGACTTTAAGCATTTCAGAATAATATTTCCTTTTTTTGACTTACAAACATTAAATAAAATAATGTAAAAATAATTTTATTTAAAATGTATAAACATTTTAATTAAAATTGACTGTAAACTACTGTATGGCTCTCTCACAACCCAGTATTGGATAAAACAATTAAAAATGGACGAATGGATTTATTAAGATGGAACCATTTTTGGAACCATTATTCACAAATGATTAGGTAAGAAAACAATAGATAAGGCTTAACCTTCTTAAAGGATTCTTAGTATTAAGAAAGTTTTATTAATTTTATTTGGAAGTCCATGAGGAACCAATCCTTCATCTGTGCAATTACAAAATAAACTGGAGTGGTCACCCCTGCTTCTGGAGAGCCATACTCCAGCAAATGGTACAGGCCACTTTTAACTCAACAATATCTAAATGCCTGGGGCACTGAAGCTGGTGATTGTTTTTAATGAAATAGTTTAAAGATCATTTGAAATGAAAATATCAACATCATGTATGTCTGAATGACTGCAACTGGCCTTTCATAATTTAGTGTAATTGGACAAATTAACTCAATAAATTGATCAAAACCCATGTGTACCAAGTCTGCATGCATGCTACTGTATTTCTTGGGGGATGTTTAGATGTGCCATAAATTACTTCCCTATGTGACTCTACATCTGTTAGTGTGGCAATCTTGCATGACATGACACGTGTTTTACATGCTGTAGTGTGCCCTTGTTGCTTACTCTGCTGTCTTGCACTGGCTATTCTTGCTTGGTGCAACTCATGCTGGACATTGAAGGCACGTATTTTATGTAGTTGTCTCCCCAGCCTATTCATTAACCTATTGATTATCTGGGAAATAACTGTGGCATAACATGTCTACTCTGAGTTTCCAAGGAAATCACACTTTTGGAAGGGCCACTCTGCAGAGCAACACATTTTACTTCAACCACTGCATCAAAGTTTTCGTTCAGCTACATAAGAATTCATGCTGATACGTTCTATCCCAATACTTTACAAAAACAGCACTTTTACAATATACAGGTCATTGAAAGACATTTGTGTCCTGAAACAGCAATTAGGTTGCAAAGGTATTATAGGTAAATAATAGAAAACCTCTATTATAGCATGTGGGCAGACATTTTATAGAACAGATCATCTGTATATATATGGCCTATAGGATTCTGACCCTGTCCTTTCATTGTACCTGGACAAACAAGTGCCTGCTCACTGGTCTCTGTTCTCTAAATTTGGCTTATTATACAATTGTTCAATTGGGTTCAATTCTGACAAATAGAGCACCCATGATATCAAGATGCTGAGGTTTGGTATTTGTTTAAGTGTTCAGGGTCATTGGATTTCAGGATTATACATTTTTCAGAGCACAGCTCATCACAGCTGTACCTACAGTACAGTAACTCAGTGTCAGAGCATCACTCCAATGTTGCACCAAGGATTAAAAAGGCAGTTCAACTTGAGGTTTGATTAGCTGATTGTGTGAGTGATTGACAGGGGAAAGGGTGCAAGGTGAATGGTGATCCCACCATGTCCCAACATTTATTTAGGAAGAGTGCAAGCACTCATGTGAATGTTGTGGTTTAGAAAATTGTGAGCTTCCACCAACCCAGGTGTGACAGTAACACAGGCTGCATGTGAGCATATGTTGTCCTGTTGAAATACTGTCACATTAGGATGAACCTACAGCAAGGGCAGGAAGGGAGGTCCTAAGGCTTGATCAGAGTAGTGCCATGCAGACCATCAATCACTAAATGTGGAGTTCTATGTTAACAAGATACCTCTCTCCAGAGCATCACACTTAAACCTCTCCATCAATTGGTCTTTGGTATGCAACAATTATGTTTCGTTCTACAAGTTTGTGCCTCACTCACTGATGTCCATCTGGGTAGTCAACACAAAATCTTAATTCATTACTATAGAACATTTGGTAGTCCAGCCTTCAACATACAGATGGCGTGAAGGCATTGTTCTCTTGATAAGTGGTGCATATGGACTCTTTTCTGTCCTCTTTTCTGTTATCATGATTAGGATGAATTCATAAATTGATGAAAATGGCACCAAAAAAATAGTATATTTATTTAGAAAAACAATATATGTATAGTGTGGCAAATTTCTTTTGATGTTCAGTCTGTGAATATATCAATTTTTGGATCAAGATTAACTGGTATCAAGATTATTGTTTTAGAAAAAGTGGATGTGTTATGTGTGTGAATTCAATAATTATTCCTTTGTAGCAACAATTTAGAATATCACCGTATTAATTTTGTCTGGACTGGAAAATGCACAATAATGATTTGAAATGGAAATGGAAATGATAAAAAATGGAAAATTATATATTGGAGATTTATTCTTGGAAGACACTGATTCTCTTTGCAGAATATTTGTTGTTTTTATCACGTTATACAAAACAATTGTTACAGTAGGTGTTTTTTAATGTATTCCATATCTTTTTAAATATTTAAAACATCATACATAAAGGTTACATTTTATATAAACAACAATAACTGATTTGTGGAGTGATAATTCTCATTATGTAATGATAATTATTTAAAAGTTCTAATACTGTACATTTAATATAAGTTCAATGTACTGTATAATTCATGCACCAGGCTTCTTTTTGAAAATAACATGTGTCAATCAGTCTCCTGGGACAGCTTTATAAAGCAAGAGTTCTGTGTAACAGAAGAAGGATGAGTGAAAAAACTGGGCATTTTAGAGTTCAAGGAAATGTAGCTTAACACTTTTCTGTTCATGTACTTTTTTGAAGAATAAACAGAAAACCACAAAGTCTAGGTATAACAAAACCCTCCAGTTTTCACAATAAAATCTTTCTGAATACTGAAATCAAATCTTTACTGTGATTCCAGAATGTTCATAGAGAAATCAATTATTCATTGCAGGGTTGAGTGCTTTCCTATCAGTAAAGTGATGTGGTTGAAGTGCTAAGAGGTATACTGATACACACTGATGTGGTTCATCTGTCCTCAACAAGGCTCCTCGCCCAGCAACGCACTGCTGTAAGGATGCATGACTGTGAGAGAAACACTAGAGAGCAAGGAGAGAATCCTCTATCTATAAGCTCTCACCCCAGGCCTCAGAACAGTGCAACATTGGGACACACAGGCTGAAAGCCTAGGACTTCAGTAAACAAGTATCATACAATGCTGTATGGCTATAAATGTTCCTAGCAGGTTAATAAACCACTCTTTCATTTCCAGGGATCACCAATGTGTAAAATGGAGATACGACTAAAAAGTAATACATTTACATATATATCATAGGTTTCATTGTTAATAAGGGTATTTTATTTACATTTAAATCATCTACACAACCAGAATCCAGAAATAATTCAAATGTAGGAAATGTGTTTAATTCATAATGTCTTGTAAACATTACATAGGGTCTTTCAGTTGTGTAATATACAATCTTACTTGAGCCTTGGACCCAAATAGAAGAAAGGAATCATAAGGAAAATGCTTTTCCTGTATGTATGTCCCCTAATTACTGTCTTCACACTGTAATCATGTCAGACTCGCCTATTTATTTCCTATTTATCTGGGCTTTCTAGCAATGAGTCAGTGCTACACTTATTAAAACTTATGAGTACTAAATGAGTAAATTTATGAATTATCATGAATGAATTTCATTTTAAAATGTATTTTTATTATCATTCTTAGACTAATAAAAGTTACTTTGTTTAACACAATGAGTGAAAGCAAACATTTCTCAGCTGTAAGATTTAGCAAGGATATATCAGATTGAGTGTCAATTTTTTTTGTCACACTCTTTTAACATTTAGCTATTGATTAATAGTGTCAAGTTTTAATCAAGAGGTGTAAAGTTAAAAGTGTAAAATGTATCTAATTTATAATGCTGAATACAGGGCAAGGTTGTGAATATGCTATAAAAAACTATTGCTGCTCTGGAATCGGTTTAGAGAAAAGCAACCACGTAAATACCAGTATTCAAAATAATTTCCTACTTTGACAGGCAAAGATAACTGAAAGGAAACTAGATTCCAGTATTCAAAATGTTGCATTGAGAAAAAGCTTTGACAAAGTTTACTAACTAAAGTATGTTTGAAACTGAAAACAGGAGGCACTTAATGGGATTTTGCAATAAGGTACCCGATTATGTTTTCAATGTTGAAACTATGGCTTCTTTGAAGAAATGTTTGAGGTCTTCAGATCATTTACTGTATGTATTTTCAACCAAAGGACCTAAATGGACTGAATCGTCTCATACCATTTTCAAAAGATATTTGCAGAAGAACAGGGGTTAATTTCAAAGTTGCTTATCAAATGTGGTAAACCCTGTGTTACAGTTTATACTACTTGACTACAGTTTGATTTCCCTCTATTTCTTCATAATACATTAACATAATCACATAACTTTGAAACCTGAAATATACATCAGGATCTGGCAGTATCATCGACTGTTATCCACACACAGAATGTCCATCTGTTCACAGGAAATCCTGCTGCTTGATCTTACGTTTCTTACTTGAATGGGACATTCAGCAGCATATCCTTTTGTATGCCTGCAGCTCGTAGAAAAAAATATTAACAGAATAGATTTACAGTAAGTAGTTTAATCATATATGTTACAAAAATCAAGTTTAATATTTCAGGAAACAAAAGTTTTTTGTCATAATGAAGCATCACACAATACAGTTGTTACTGTTATGTGAGGAACGGATATCTGTAAAGGCTGAAGAGGTTCAGTAATGCTTATTAATACTCACGCTATTTGGTCTGAAGATGGTGTTACTTATACAATAAAATGGTATCCAAAAACACCTTAACAGACACACTCTCCTCAACACCCAGACACGTTAATCAAGATGAGGGACAAAAAATAACCAACTTCCACATTTGTTGGTGAGACCCAACACATAATAGTATGTTATGTGTTGGGTCTAACATAATATGTTCTACTTATTTAAAACAGCTTTGTGGATTTACAAAATTATCAGTATTACATAGACAAAAAGCTTTGACTTCAAAATAGCCATTGTTTAGACATTAGAAGGTTAGATGCTGTAGTACAGAGTGAGTAATAAAACAGGAGAATCTATGAATGAGTAGTGAAAAGAGTACCAGAGCCCTGTAAAGCCTTACAGAAGGTTAATATTGTTTTGTTTTAAATCCGCTGAAGTCTTTGTTCATTATTATAAAACATTTAGCAATGTTAGGGTTAGGATTCGGTGCTCTCACAGTCGCAGCCTGGGTTCGATTCTCAGTCAGGGAATTAATGTATAGGGCAGTGTGGTGGCTCAGGATCTGCACCTGTGGCTGGAAGGTTGCCGGTTCATATCCTGTGGCCGGCGGAGGAATCCTACTCCGTTGGGCCCCTGAGCAAGGCCCTTAACCCCAGCTGCTCCAGGGGAGCTGTATAAATGGCTGACCCTGTACTCTGACCCCAAGCTTCTCTCCCTCTCTGTGTCTCATGGAGAGCAAGTTGGGGTATGCAAAAAGACAAATTCCTAATACAAGAAACTGTATATGGCCAATAAAGTGATCTTAAAACATATTTTATGCCAGATATGTTTACTAATTGGAATTTACTTCCCAATCCTAAGGAACATGTACACTGCCGTATTATAATCACATCATTATCTTATCAAAAGTGATTAAGATTAATAGGATTTTTTTCAAATTAACATGAGAAACAAAGACTGTTCTGTTCTGGATATGTTAGGATTTGATTGAGTATTGGTAAACTAATTTTTAATTTGTCTTCTTTTTCAGCATGCCATTGACGCTGTCAGTGCAGGAGTTAGTCCTATTGGAGAAACATCTAACAATTCAAGCTACTGGGATCTTGGAAGTGCCTTTTTCTTTGCAGGGACAGTGATAACCACAATAGGTACTCTTAAAAAACTCAGTTCTGTTGGTCTAAGACCCTGTTTGTAAAGGCCACCTATTACTAGTTTTGTATTGCTACGTCCAACCTGCCTACAGTTACAAGAGATAGTGCAGTGCTTTTAGTGCAGTGCTATTGTTTATAATCCTACTGTATTTCTTGAAGAATAATGATAACCAATCAGTAAACACATTATAAACGTTTATTGTTTTTAGCCTAATGGTAGGCTTAAAGAACATTGGTTTAATTTGCTTAGTTTTAGCTACCCAAATAATAAGGAAATTGGGTCCTTCAAGCTGACTGAAATGAACCAAAGATTGCAAAGAGGGAGATGGGTTGGAAGAGGTATGCACAAGACAAAGAAATATGAAGAGGTGAAGAACCTATTGTGATTTTTTAGGGTATTTTGGGAAGTGGCAGGGTTACAAATTAGAGAAGCAAAGATGATGGGAAATTATGTTGTTGTTAATCCTCCCAAGCATTAATTAAAAAGTTCATTTGTTTTATTGTTTATGTAAGTAGTCATATAGGTAGAACTGTGTCCAAATTAATACTACAATATGAAGCTACTGCAGTATACAGGTGGACACTTTACACTGTTAGGTCCATGGATGAGCTTAAAGTAATGAGTTTCAATTCAGCCATGTGGCTGTCAGATTGCTATTCAGTGCAATACATATTCAAATCATCTAAAGAGAGATGATTGAGACGCCATTTGTCTCAAGCAAAATATGCTTTTTTTCTCACAAAATAGAATCCACTTGAATTCTTTATATTTAACTGAAAACATTAATTTTATTTTTTTATTCTTATTTTATCTATATTTTTGGTATCTTATTTTCTTTAATCAATTTAGGAGCAAATTCAGCTCTGAAGCTGAAATGCTTCAGAAGGAGCTATATTTGTTTCTTTTCTTAATCAATTTGAATCAATTTTCTTCTCTTTCTACACAAGGATATGGAAACATTGCTCCAAGTACCGAAGGAGGCAAAATATTCTGCATTTTATATGCCTTGTTTGGAATACCTCTGTTTGGGTTTCTTTTGGCTGGAATAGGAGACCAGCTTGGAACAATATTTGTGAAAAGCATAGCAAAGGTAGAAAAGGTATTAAGGGTAAGTTAAACTTCATTTAAAGTTATTATGACTTTATTTCCTTGTATGTGGTAGTTACATACAGCTACTGTATATACAGTACAGTACATAGATTGAATACATTTGAAATATATGAGATGTCATTCATAAAAAGAAATAAATGTTTATTACCACCTCACCTGATATTTTAATATAATATAATATTTTTAACCATTAAGTGTTAAATTGCCATAAAGTACATTATTTGGAAGTTTCTATTAAAGACAGAATATTTGACAGAAGATTTGAGTTCCTTAGAAAAGTAAACCTAAAAAAGAATAAATTCCAATCAGACTGTTAAGCTTTCAGATTTATCAAGATATGTAGAGCATTTACCCTAGTAATAAAACCTCTAATAATGGTCAAAATTACATTTTTAAGAAAAAAAATGGAAATGTTAAAGCCTCTTGGTTGAATCTCTCAGCACATTTTCAATATTGTAAACTATGGAGGAGGACGCTAACATGGACAAGAGGTATATGTTGAAGATTAAATAAAGGAGGAAAGCCACAACTATATTGTTGTGTTCTTCAACATACTGTTGAAAACTCAGCTCTGAGCATGTTCACCTGTTCCTTAGCTAACCTTTCAGCTTTGTAAAATATGTCAAGACTACATACTGTACATTTCCTTCTATTGTTCTGAAACCACAGCTTTATCCTGAGTATATGGCGAAATGGAGACAAAACTGAAAGTGTGGATTGTTTTTCCTGTTACTGACCAATACTGACACTGCTTTTCCTCTGTTTTCAGCACAAGCAGATAAGTCAAACCAAAATACGAGTGATTTCCACAATCCTGTTCATCCTGGCAGGCTGCATAGTATTTGTCACTATTCCAGCTGTGATTTTCAAACACATTGAGAAATGGACGGCATTAGAGGCTATTTATTTTGTAGTAATCACCCTAACAACTGTAGGAATTGGAGATTATGTGGCAGGTAAGTAAATCATTGAATATTTTGAGAATAGTTTTCTGTAATCTTTAAATTTTCGAACTACATGTCAGTGTCATCTAGTATTGAATGAAATGTCACTAAATAGACTAATGTGACAGCTTTGGCAAACCTAAACTAGTTCAGGTGCAAAAAAATAACACTGACAAGTCAAAGATTAGCTGATTTACATCTTTGTGTACAAGAACAGTGATTCTCATGATGTCACAAAAATTATATTTGTCTCCATTATGTCCTTTCGTCAAGTAGTGAATTTCAAGCAAAGATTGAACTGTAGAGACCAAGGAACTTTCAAAACTACTCAAAAACACAGCTTTATAGAAAGACGCAGATCAGGAGAAGATTACAAGCTTTTAAAGAAACATAATGTCTCTTATAGCTAGTGAAGTTCATCATTAAGAACTGGAAGATGCAATATACTATCTAGACACTGCCTATCAACAGGATTAGTCTGGAAAGGAGAAAACAGGTCTGAGATGCAAATGTGAGGCCAATGACAGCTTTGAAGGAGCTGCTGATTAGCACTAGTGAGAGAGATGGGAGAAAATGTCCACAAGTCAGTAATATCCCAGTCACACGGCTTTTAAGTTATGAGTAAAAATCTTCACTTTAACACAGATGCATATGAATCATTTATAATTCAAAAAATTGGAACATTATGGGAAGGGGTTAAATACTTTCATAAACCACTAAATAGCCGACATCCTATATTTTTCTATGGTACTGAAGTAATATTCAGAGCTAAAGCTGTATGTAAAACATAATTTCTATTGCTAATTACAGTATCTACTGAATTAAAATAAGACATTGGTTTGTGCGTATTTTAATTATTATTCATGCAGTTTTTTTTAAATTAATGTTTCATTTTTTTTTATTCACAAAACCACAATATCTAGATTTATGTGTGCTTGAAAACAGGCTAACTTTATAGCCACATAAATTATATGTTGGGAACAAATACATTTTTTAACAAGGATCAACAAACTGAGTTGGATCAGCAGAGACACTGTAGTAACTATAGTGAATAGTAACTAAATTGAAATTGAAACAGTTTGTGTTGCATATGGTAACGTTACATCAGTCCTGACATTAGTGTTTTAAAAGTGCTTTTTACTATTTAATGTATTATTTACACCATGTCCCCAGGTGGTAACCGAACAATTCCATATAAGGACTGGTACAAGCCACTGGTTTGGTTTTGGATTCTTGTGGGTCTTGCCTACTTTGCAGCTGTGTTGAGCATGATTGGGGACTGGCTGAGAGTCATATCCAAGAAGACTAAAGAAGAGGTGGGAGTGAGCTAAGTAACAAATGCTTATGGAGTAAACTTTATCTTTACTAATAGTACTATTACACATAGTTATTACACATATTTGTCTTTACACTATGGCAATTATTAATACATTATTAATATTATTACTTAAAACTGAGCTCCTTGCATTTTCAAAATTCTGAGTTAGAACCATCTAAATATAGTGTACTTCTAATGCCACTTGCATATATCAAGTTAAAGTCTGCAGTCCTTATAATAGCTCTAATTGTAGCTCATTAGCGTAACAGCTAACTCAGACCAGAAAAAAGGTATGTACAGTATACAGTATATATATATATTTATATAAGATTGTTACAGACTTTAAAGGGCTATGGTGTCTTTTTTCAAGGGAATGCATTTGTGATGGATTATGGGAATTAATATGAATATATTTAACATTTTTCCAATGGTAAATGAAATCTTTTCACTTATCTCCATGACAGACCATCTATTTCTCTTTTTCACTTTCTCAACGATAGGGATGAAAAATAAAAAAACTGAGACATGCAAGTAGTTTTTTGAAAAAGTAATTTGAATTCCACTAAAGCAGGATCAAATAGAAAGCCTGAATCTCTAAAAACAAACTACAGAAATGTCTGATTTCAATTTTAAATTTACAGGTTTTAAATACCTATATTTCTTGAAATTTCATACCTTATCTGTATATCATAAAAATGTAATTTAATAGGTGAAAGAAATAAGAAGAAGAGGAAGAAAAAACAGGAAATGAGGGATAAGGTCAACAATAAGAATGACTCCATCTCTGTCTTGGATTTTGGCTTGCTATAAGACATTACAAAAGTAGCTCAAGGACCATTATATGATATTACTGTCATATCTAAATTCTGGACATACAACATCACCATCTAGCTAAACTGGGTTTAAGTTCAAGTACATTACTACAAACTGCATCTTACTGTATGTCTTTTCAGAAAATTTAGGAACATAAACTCATTTTTGATAGATCTTGATGTAAATGCTTTTGTCTTGTGTCTGTGACAGGTTGAAGAAATAAAAGCTCATGCAGCTGAGTGGAAGGCCAATGTGAGAGCTGAGTTCAGGGAAACCCGAAGACGACTGAGTGTTGAGATACACGACAAGCTTCAGAGAGCTGCAACTATTCGAAGCATGGAACGCAGGAGACTAGGCTTGGAGCAAAGAGCCCATTCCCTTGACATGCTGTCTCCAGAAAAGAGAGCCATGTTTGCAAGTTTGGACACTAACCGCTTCAAAACATCCTCGCAAGAGAGCATTGATTCCAAACTGAACAACCTGCGCCTCAAGGCAGAGCAGTACGACAAGCATGAGCAAACTTCATCAGATGACAACCTGTTCAACAGGTTTGGCTCCGTGACAAAACTGGCTAAACGAAACAAAAACAAGGATCTGAAGAAGAACATTCCAGAAGATATTCGGAAAATCTATGATACCTTTGGTTGCAACCCGATGGATGCAGAGAAGAAAGAAGAAGAAGGGGAAAATGAGTGCAACACAAGTCTATCAAATTTACCCGAGTACCCAGAAAGCCCCAAGCTGGAAAATGGAAGTATACCTATTCAAACCAAAGAAAAAGAGAGCAAACAATTACTTGAGGAAAAGGACCAACAGACAAGCCCTTAGAGGGGATGATGCAGAAAAGGTTTTTTAACGTCTCAAAATGTGCCTTATCCTTCATACGTAGACTTGGGGTTGACATTAGTCTACAGCATACTAAATAATTGTTCACTGTGCCCTAATGACTTAAGTTTCAATTGCCAAAAATGAGTTGTTTAACTTGACATCAAAGCTATGACAAATAGTAGCTGCCAAAATATTTTATTATTTGATAGCTGTCACAATAAATGTTTAGAAGAAGAAATTTAAAGAGCATAGCTATGCCAGCCATGCATCTTTGCAACATAGAGTAGCAAGAACATATGACGTGTGTTAAGACTTATGATTCCTATAAGCATGCCTGCTTTACTATCAAAATCCTGACCCTTGAATTAATCACTGTTTAATTGTGGATTTGTACAGGGAGACAGAAAAAAACCTGGATAAACAATTTTACGAACAATAGATGATCATAAATACCCGAAGATTTTGAAATTATTTGAATTTGTGCTGAAAGACGACAAAGACATCTATTGGAAACTTCCATTACATTGATTAAAGCAGTATGATTCTAGGAACTTATAACAAAACTAAAACAGAAAAAGGGCAAAAAACATTGTGCATGGTCTTTGAAACCTGACTCATTAAGTATATCCAAAAGCTATCAATCTTATGATTATGAGAATAAAATCTCAGGGCTTTTTGTCCTACTGTTGTGTTTGAATATGCTTGTCTGAAACATGCTGCATTCACACTGAATAACTGAGTTTGGCAGATTGTGGATAGGCTTTTTTAAATGTAAAAGGGATTCCTTCCTTAAACAGTAGTATGTAAGAGATAAGCCATATATTTAAAAAGGTGTGTTAATATGTTTAAAAGTATTTCAATGTGTTTTATCCTATTAAAATGAAACAGTTCTGGAAAACAAATAATCAGTGATGTTACACAGATATAGACACAATGTTCCTTGCTCAATTTGTTTTACACTTTCTTTAAAAAAATGAAAAAAGGGACTTTTTAAAAGGTGAAAAGAAGCTGTATAGCTAAGTTTGAATTGGATACGGTAGAATTTGTTGACTGTCAGACACACCAAGACATCTAATTTTAATTTGGAGATGGGTTCTTACCTGTTTCTGAGACTGATTTTAAAACACATGTGAAAACAACAATTGTGTGTTTATGCATAAAAAAGTACGTGAAGGGTATATTAATTTCATGGAGTGGAGTGTTTTCAGGTATCATGCTTAATACTTCATGTCTTGTGTGATGAGTTTAATACTTGCAGAGTTTAAATAACTTAATAGATAACACAACGTGTACTTCTAGAAGCAGTTTAGTCTTGCAGCCTCTAAGCGATAGGTTGATATAGCCTTGGATCAAGCCTTATAATACATAATCATTAAACAATCAATTTTTTACTTTATTTTTTAATAAGTTTTCCCATTGCCACAAACATATGTAGTTAGGGGGGAAATAAACAGCGGTTTAGAAAGCTATGGATACTTGTCAAACATTCACATCATTGTGACCATCTACAGGACAGTACAACAGAATTGTTAATGGATCTTTATGTGATTTTGTTTTTCTTTTAATCGAGTAGTAGATATTACTATATAGTGTATTGTATCATTATCTGGATAATCTCTAACTAGTTTAGGAAAAAAGTGCTATAGGTAAATTTATAACATGCTTCTTATGGAAAACTTATGGAAAAGTCATTAAAATAAATAAAACATTAATAGGGATCCCATGTTATTTCTGTTTGGATACACACATTCTAGCTGGCTGTTAAATTTGATAAACCAAGTTATCATTAATGATTGGTTTTTACTCTGTTATAAATTATCCATGTGTAGAAACATTTTATTTGCAACCACACACAACTCTTGTTCCAGTGGTCAATATGTATTTTTTATTTGTGCTATACTATTACAGATCAGATGAACACCACGTATGTCTTTCAAAGATCTGTATAAGATCCAGCAGTCCTCTAACATTCAGGCCGAGTTGAGATTTGGGTAAAAATATAAAAAAGTGTAATGGCATTATAATCATATAATGTTGCTTTTGAAAACAGCTGGTATCTTGAAAGTAAAACTTTGAGTATCAGAATGAATTGGAACATGCCTCAACATATTTTCACATAATTTCCCCACCTGTAAACCTAAGGTTTTAGAATTGTGCTTTTGTATACATTTATAGACCTTGTGAAACACGCTTAAATATTTAAATGCATGCATAGGAAAAAAATAACTTTAAAATAAATATTAAAGTCCTAAATGTAAAGTTTTCCATGAAAATTATAGTTTCCCCAAACAGCATTGTTAGTTGGGTTGAGAAAAAGTGGTTCTGAAGCTGTAAATACCATGAAGGTTATGTATATAATGCATTATAATACAAAGTAAAAGAACTGGACAAACCAATCTTCAAATGTGCTCTCTGGGTTACAGTTGGTTTCCGATAAAAACATTCCTGTATTCCAGAATGTTAAATTCATAATAACATGAAATGGTACATGTGAAAGTTAGCATTGGATACAGGGATCTCATCCAGCCTCCAGACGTTTTTTAAAGGATGCTAGGGTAAGAATTTCATCAACATGGCTCGTTAGCATGTACTACATACCCATAGCAATTTATATTAAATTGTGCCTCTGTTCTTAAAATGCATTTCCTGTAGTTCATTCTTGTGTCCTTTGGAGCATGGTTCTTCAGTGTTGAAATCTATTTAGGCTGCCTTTGACAAAACCTTTAAATATTTTGAGTATTTGAAAGTTTCAGTCAAACTGCCATAGTAGGACATTCCTTTAAGCCTGGAATGTATCTTGCTGCTCCTCTCTGGACTGATTTCAGTGATGATATGAGTGACTGATCTCTTTTGTAATGTAGCAAACAAAGTGGTACAAAATATTTCACTTGGACTTAACATTAATCTTAGACTTAATCTAATGTACAAGTTTTTTTTATATCTATTCTATGATTTGCCTTTTTATTGTTCACCACAATGTCTTGAAGATGAAAGTGATATACCACAATGAACAAAAAAGTCTTTATCATAGGAACTTTCTTCATGCTTAGTGTTTCCCATCTTATACTTATAATTTATGTTTCTTCTACCTTCATGTAACACTTCAAACTTGTTTACATTAAATGTCACCTGCCAAGTATTTACCATTTTGTTTCTGAATTTTGTTTTTGTTTCTACAGTTTGCTAATCCTTATAGTTTTGCCTATTTTCCTAAGCACAACACAATCTTGAGCATTCAAAAATCAAGAAGAGCAGTGGTGCTCATACAGATGTGTATGGTACTCCACTAATCACTTCAAATTTGAGGAATCATCTCAAATTTGTACACTCTGTTTCCTATCAATTAATCTGTTCTTCATCCAAACACATGCATTTCCATGAATGCCTAACTCTATGTAGGGAGATTAATCTTTTAAGATGATTGAACAAACACCTTCTAAAAATCTAAACGTACCTTATCACACGCTCTGTATTTATGTCATATGTTTGTGCAAAGACCTCTGTCAGATACGTGAAATGACTTAAGTATTTTGGTTTAGTTAAAATGATTTTTTTCTGTGGTCACACATTGCTTTATAAGTGTCCAGACTGTGACCTGCAACCACCTGACTAGGAAGTTTTTCCCTGATGTCGAGATGTTCAATAGAGAAAACATGTGTTTTATGTATGTTATATGTGTGTGTGTAAAATATTTTATTCTTGAATGGAAAACAATGGAATTACTAGACTAATTAATAATTACACTTAAAAAGTTTAATTTAAATTTATCTTGAATTTATTTCACACAGTTATTTTTTTATATTCCTTATGATACTATATACAATGCAGATACTAAGTAATTATAAGATTAATATGAATACTTAAAATATAAAATAATTAAAAAATAATATGCATTTCATTTTTAGTTTATGTTCATGTGTGCGTTTCAATAGTTTTTAATGGAACAAATTAAATTTCAGAAAATTTCAGAGTGTAAAAGTCAGTAGCTGTTTGCATATCCATTTGACTCAATAACTGCGTGAGGTCTATGACCCAGACTCTTTGTGGAATTATATGATACACTGTGTCAAAACTTTGAGTTCTCCCTTATGCATTGTGTGATCGAAGTCACATACAGTATGGTCTCCTCTATCCATAAATCTCTTGATACCCTCTACTGCCTCATTTTTGTATTTCTGAACAAATTCGAATCTGTCTTTTCATTCTAATTCTGCTGTTTTGGTCTTTAAAGTCGATTTTGATAACTTGAGTTTTGTTAAGGTTTTCGTTGACAGCTTTGATAATTTATCTGTTACCAACATCAACATTTTTTACCAAAAATCTGGTTTTGTCTGATTGGTCATTTCTTCTTCTTCAGCATATTCCAAATAATTGATTTTGGTATTCCCGGTTTTTATGCTAGAACTCTGAATGAGGTTTTATTTTCTTTATCTTATCATCTTAACATTGCCTGTTTTTCTTTAACAATTCTTTGGCTTTTGTTATGACTTTCAACAATGGACTCCAAGCACTGAGGTCAAAGCAAAACAAGAAACACTTTACTAGCAAGAGACCTATGTAATCTAATTTTTTTCAATACTTTTGCTCTTTCGAAATAAAAAAGAACTAAATTGACTTTATTAAAAATAAAATACAAAACTTTAGTTTTGTTTACAGTGTATGGACTTTTTCCTGTTTGGCTCATTGCCATTCATTTTTTATGCAATGAAATAACAGACAGACAGAAATAAAAGAGGATGGATTGTAATAAAAAAAAGTTGCTTTTGAAGATCCCAATGTACTGGCACATCCAAAAAAAACTGCTTGCTAAAAGAAAACAACTGGAGTTAAATCAATTTATCAATGTTCTACTAAGATCTGATCTGATTCAGTATCCACAGTTTTGAAGAGATTGTATACAGTAGGTGTCAATTGTACTGACAGAATCTTAAAAGTCACATGATTTGTTGTGCTGAGGGCTTGGTTATGTATCTACAAATTAATAAGGAAAATGTATTAATGATTTTAACTCCCGAGGACATCCTGACAGCCTGGCCAAATGGAGGTGGCTAAGCCAAAACGATGCAACAAGGGCAAATTGGAAGGTTGCTGAGTTGAAAACACCAGGAGGCAAAGGCTGAAATCTCTTATTTATCTGGTGAAAGAAGTAATTTATTGAATGGAGACTTGTACTCTTCCTGGATTTTCATTGCAGGCCTCATTTAAAGTAAATACTATGGTTTTTAACTGTCTAACTGGCATATTGTTGCTCCTTTGCTGATGTCCTTTGCTGGTTTATAACTATTATGTGTTCTTTTTTTTTAGATTTTCACATGTGGAAAAAGAATTAAAAGCCATACCTAGATCAAAAGCTCTGAAGTTATTACAGCTTTTGAACAATCTGCCAAGCTGTAGTCATATAGCCTATATAGCTACATGGCAAAAGCATAGTGTGAATGCAGCAAATATTGATTAACATGTGTTAAATATTGGTTAACAATGCATATACAAGACAAAAACAAAAATACAAAAAAAAAATAAAGAAATGGAAATATAGCATGCTATTCTGCTAAAATGTTACTATGGTATTAATTGTATCCACAAGCTAAAAGAGATCAAGTTTGCCTTGAAAGGTTTTTAATCATTAAAGTGGGCCACACACGCTTACTCTTTGTGTTGTTCAAAATATTACTTGTGCAACCATTACATTTAAATGTATTGAGTGCCTTTTGGAAATAAATATGATAAACGGGAACATTTAGCAGTGCTTGCATGTGATCTATGACAGTGTCAGTTCTGCATGAGGCAATGCCAGTATACAACTGGCCCAACTCCTTTCATATTTATTGTACTGTGGGACATGATCACATTCACAGTGTTTTTTTTTAGTAACATGATATGCTACATCTGACTGTTCATTTTATCCTGAATTTTGACCGATTAATCTCCTTTATTTTTAACCATTTATTGTGCAACATGCAATCTTCTTTCAAAGTGTCTTCTTTTTAAGAAACAGATGTTAAGTGAATGTAGTGCTGCCTGGATGTATCTTTCTCTGCTGTTTTTTAAAAATGTACTTTAAGACTTACTGTAAGAGGTATCTGAGAGTAAGAAAACAAACTTCAGTTTCTTCTGAACTGGGTGTAGAGATTTATTTGATCAACAAAACATGAGCTTAACAATTTTAGTGGAATGTATATTTGGATTTTTTAAGGTGTCTTTTGGTTAATAAAAAAAACAAGTGTAAATATTTTTTAGATACTGTATTAGTGTGCTTCTACCCATAACAATTCCCAGATCCACAAGTATACTGAATAGTGTATATTAATTTTGTTAGACATGTATTGGCTCTATGGCTACAAAAATATAAAGGACTGGGTATAAAAGAGTTTGGTGTGAAGAGCTAGTTCAGCACTGGAAGTACAATCTACCACCCTATCACTGCTATCTCAATTCAGCATTTTTTGATGGTGAAAAATTAACTTCATAATAGAATCTTCACATTGTAAATAAAACAAATGTAAATACCAGTTATGTTGATCCATAATATGGATTTAATAGAATATATATTATTTCTTCTGTTAAACTAAATCATAAAGGTGCATAGGATTACTGAATGAATTTTGTTTCTCCCCAGACTGATTGCAAAAATTCTTAAAGTGAAGAACTCTTAAGAAAAATAAATTTTAGACATTGAACAGTTATATTTTTCACTTAAACATAGTTTTGATTTCAGTCAGACACGGTCATTTGTAGGTATTTAATTGAAATAAAATGTACCATTTTTATGTACCGTAGGTACTTTGAGTTAGAGCACATCTGTAAATTCTGATATAAGTATATGTCGCAGGAGTAGCCTTAGGTTGTGAAAAAAGTGCCTCACTTTCAGGCTATGTAACGATGGCAAAACTGTCCTGCCAGGCCACTGAGCCACGCAGCAACAGTTTTTGTGGTCCTGCAGTTCTGAGAATCAGGGCTGTGACAAACAGCAGGGCAAGCTCCACACAAAGGGTCTTGGAGCAGCGTCAGGATCTGTGGATCAGCTAAGTGGCCGATGGATGAGGCAGGTGTGAATAACAGAAGAAGGGAAAGCTATTAGCAAGAAGTGGGCAGGGGAGAGTAAAAATCTGCCTTTCCTCCGTGAATGGAGAAAGGTTGGCGAATCAATACTGATAAGATGACTGCAGGAGTCAGAAATAACCAGAAATAAAAGAAGGAAAAAATTCAGCAGGGAAAAAATACCTGCTCATTCAGGGATCTACATGTAGGACTAGAGGCTTGAGGTGCAGTTCACTGAAGAAGTGTTGCTGATGCTGCAGCTCACTCAAACTCAGAGCAGTGAGGTGAACAGAGAGAAAGCCTTAAATAGTCTGCTCCTGCAACAGATAATTTAATTATTGGCTGCTCAGTTGAAAAAAGGATGGCTGTCTGGAAACACGTCCAGACTGAGTTCATATGGCTTCAGATTGGGATTGAGACCATGTGCGAATGTGTTTGTTGTCAGTGGTAACGCCAGCACAGTTATGATGGGACCATCATTCCAGACAGTTAGTTTGTTGATTTATTTCATCCTTTTTGTTTTTTTATCCTGGTTTCCTTGAAGGGAGTTATAAAAGATACCTGAGGCAGGTATCTGATCACACATTCCCCCATCTCTTAATGACAGACTACTCTTCCTTTAAATTTTCTCCATTCATTGGAGGGTTTCATTTCACACCTCTCTACACCTATTCTGACTTCACACCTCTTGATTGGCCTCTCTTTCTGTCCCCTGCTCCCGCCTCTCACACCTCCTCCCTTCCATCCTTTGTTCTCCTGCTACATTGCCTTTGCCTACTGCCTTTGTCTTTGTCTCTCACACCTGAAGAAGACTCCACGGCCTAAACGTTGTGTTTTCTCTCTTCCTTTTTCCGAATAGAGGCTTTAAGTGTGCATCCTATAAACTCCTTGACAATTCATTCTGTCATAGATTATTGTAAAAAATAAATCATACGGAGCCTGTTTCAATATCTTACATTCATTACTTTCTGCAATGTATTAGTTTTATTATATTAACAGATGCAAAATTAGTCATACAAAGACTCTTGGCAGAAAACACAGAGGTCACAATAAAGTCCTTGGAAATGTGATAGTGAATTGTAGGATCTTTCACAGAGCAGGGAGCAGTTTCCATAGAAACTATCTTAAATGATCATACAATTTACAATACAGGCATTTATTTTACAAGTGCAGTATTAATGCAGATTATGAAAATAAATCATTATAAAAAATACTTCACATAGATTTTCTATTGTTGGCAGTATACAGTATAACCATAACCCTAACCATATCTATATCTGACACACTTAATTTGAAATGTTGCTGCATAAAAGATTTGTGAATATAAAGTATTAACAGATAAGATGTATGTAGAAAATTAACATTGGGAGCAAATATTAAAAATGGATCAATAATTGGATCAAATGGTTTATTTCTTAGTCGAGTGAGTCTTTAGGCTTTGTAACATTTGCAAATATCTTATTATAATGATAACAATACAATATCAATGTCTTGTTATTTATCAGCTGGGAAAATATTTTGTTAAAGGTATAAAACTGCTTATTATCCCCACACAATATTGTTTTTTTTTAATACTATATGGTTTCCTAGTTTCACAAGTGAAGTTAAATTAAATTCCAGGATGATTTTGACAATTTTTTGTCAAGAAGCATTTTATAATACAAAAATTAGATTGTGTTTGTTCCAATAATTATATTTAGTTAGCACTTACTAGTTAGCATTACTGCTCTTGGCTCATGAGCAACTAGAATGTCAGTGTGGATTTTATACACTCTCTCAGTTTAAGCATCGTGCCCACAATCCAGTAATATCTTTCTCCATGTGTAAGTGTGGATAGGGTTAACCCTGACCCTGGCTTTGCAATGTTAGGCTCTGACTCACCATGACTCTTTAGTTACAGTAGCTCCTGAAACTAGATGGATGGATGAAACACAACCGTCTATTTTTTCCTCCATATTCTGGTTTGCTGATATAAAGTAATGTATTCTGACCGATGGAGGTCTTTCCTGAGATTTCTATTAACTTGTACAAAATTGATTTTTGCAAAATTAGATTTCTCACTTCAAGTTCCAAACCTTAAAAACAATAAATAATATTGAGTTTGCTAACATTTTTCTAAGGTATACAATTGATTGTAAAAAAAAGGAATCAGCTGTGAAACAGTGTTGCTCTTTTATGTATCCGTCATCGCTCACATATAGTCGAAGTACATCTTTTGCACAGCAAAAATAACAGACAATATTTTGAATGTATATTTTAACATTATACCATTATATTTGGAGCAAAAAGTACAGACAAACAAAGGGTTGACAGAGTAGATAGATAGATAAGACTTTATTAATCCTGTCCATGTGTTACAGCAGTCCAGCCCAAGACAAGCAAAAACAGACTTGTTTATAAAACAAAAGACATCAAAATAAATATAAATAAATAAATAAATACATAGGTGTGTGCAAAATTTGATGATCTTAGTCACTGTAAAAACAATAAAATATGTGCAAAATGTGCACATCCAGAGTTTTCATTAGGTGTGATGTCAATGGCACTGGTCTGTAGTCATTCAAGACTTTAGGGTGCCCCTTGCCACTGGTCTGTAGTCATTCAAGACTTTAGAGTGCCCCTTTTTGGGTTCTGGCACCAGGCAAGATGTCTTCCAGAGCATTGGAACAATGGCGTAGCCATACAAGAATGAATCTGAAGTGCTAAAAATAAAAATACAGAGCATTGATTCAGAAGATCAGCTTGTAATAAAGGGTGTGTAGTCATGGCTGAATTCTGTATGGTTAGCAGGATCAAATATGGCCAATTTAAATGGAAGCTTGACATTCTGTAAGTACATTTAATGAAGGCATCAGGACAGCAGAATATTGCCAATATAGAAGCCTCTACTCTTAAAAATGTATAGTATACTGAAAGGGGCTTTTGCACAATCGACCTTCAAAAGGAAAATCATTACAATCTAATGGGTAAGAATGTATTCAAATTAATGCTGCTTTATTTAACTTTCATGATTGCAAAACACGATGTTCTTCTGCTGAGAAATGCAGTGTTATGGAAACATAACATTTAGAAACTTAGTAGTATTCAATAGTTCAAGGGGGAAACTAAAAAGTCAATTATAATCTTATTATTCCCATTATGATATGTAGGGCTGACTGGACAGCTGAGACTGCTCTTCTATTACTCTGTTTCACTGTCAGAAATACACTTTTTACAGTTCTGTGAAATACTACATTAAATTCTATAGCATGAGTTTTTTTTTTAATTTAAAGGTTTCTCTATTTCAGAAGGAGACAGAAATTAGACACCATAAAATCAATTTCTTAGACTGCCCTCCATTAAAACCATCAGAGGAATGAAAATGGTTCATGGGGAGAAAAGTCATAGTTCTGTACATTAGAAATACTTCTGTATCCATTCCATCTCACATAAATACATTATTAAGGCTAACAGTTGCTTTGGACATTCTCACATACAGTTAAAGATGACTATTTTTTACCCCATTTGTATGAGAGTAGAATTTCTGTTTTCATTTTTTTTCACTTGCTGAAAGACTTGATACATTTTCTAAAGGTTAAAATACCTGGGACAAACATTTGAGTAGCCCTGGACAGAAACTCAGAGAACTTCAAGCATACACGAACAATTCAGAGACACCAAATAACCTTCTCAATATGCTTTTGAAAGGTAAGGGGAAACCAGATCATCCAGGAGAAACCTACACCAACACAGGGAGAACATGCAAACTTTTTTTGAGGACATTATCTTCTTCTCTGATTACCACAAAGAAATGTTTAGCAATCACTCAAGTTTCTCAGAAAAACTCAAATATCTCTGACTTTTTGTGAACACCTGGGGGCAGTGGTGAGATTATAAATTCTTCTGGGATGCAGTAAGCAATGATTGACACTGAGAAAAGCTGACATCTGATCCCTATGGGCTGACACTACTCTTCCCAGTCTGGAATCCAGCTCTGTCATTAAAAGCAAGAATTTTGGATGTTGTCAGGAAGAAAAAGTGCATGAGGATGAGATCTAAAGGTAATTAAACTTGCCATACACTGTCAGGCAACAAATCTGATTTTCAGCAGCAACATGATTATAAATATCCTTTATTGAACCTCGTGTCAAGTTGCTGTCAGCTTGAATTACAAAAAAGCAGAAGGAGCTCTAACTTTGAAATATTACTTAATTTAACT